GTTATCTCTATCTTAGCACGAGAATGATGCCGCCGTTGTTTCGAACACTTCAGTTCAAGCTCGACAGCTTTTTTTTGAATCTGCCTGACAATTAGTAGCCTCAACGTATCCTTCCAGGTCGAGCTCTGGAATCCAATAGGCCAAGCCGATGGACCCGACGATATAACGGTTCTCAAACATGCTTCGTTTGCATCGGGTTATACTTCGGGGCAGCATGGACAAGTCTGTGTGGGAGAGCCGATGCTCAAACATATGCACAAGCACAAGAGTCCCTTACCTTGGTTCAAGAAGCCACCGCAAGTTCCTGCGGCTGTACTCATGTACACAATTCCTCTCAGGAGCAGATTGAGAAGTCCATCTCCATCTCCATCGTCCTCGTACTCTTTTCCTGCTAGATATGGTGATTGGAGTCCTCCCTCCTGCTTCCATGTGAAGGAACATTCGAAATTATTTCCACCATTGTCCTCGTACTCTCTTCCTGGTGTATATGGCCCTAAGATTCCTCCAACTCGTAGTAAGAATTCTTTTTCCCCTATCTATTCGGAGGAGTAGTAGTATCTCCATATACACCAGGATGAGAGTACGAGTACCATGGTGGAAATATACAAGTTCTGCCACCTGCACCCTCCTCACCTGGGTGGATACAGAAGCTCCATCCTCGACGAATTCCTCACCGATCGATCGCCGATCGTTGCAAAGGGGCCACCCAATTTCAGCGACCTCGGACTCGTGCACCCGACATGCAGGCGTCCTCGATCGGGACCCGGTTCACTCCCATTGGCCCCGGAACGACACTCTGCTGCCATTCAGGCTCGTGGACCAGGGCTTGGATGTGTAGATCGGCCACGAGCGGGCGACGCTCTGGAGCCATATGTATTGGAAGGTAATTCCCGACGATGACGTACGTGCAACACAATCTCCCCGTCTACTGACGGTCCCAAGCATTTGTGCACCCCTTTGCAGGTATTTGCTGGATCTTGCTAATGACTGACCGAACTCACTGATACTTTGATGCAGGCGCACTGGAATTGGACTTGGGATCACCACGTAGACCACGACGTGCTCAAGCTACTAACTTATATCCGCGACAAGACCGTCTCCAGAGCTCACTACGTCGGCGTTTCAATACATCTTTGACGTGATTTCGTCTGTGAACTCCCTCAAAGTGAGTGAACTTCGGGCGTCGAGCTGGAGCTAATGCATGGGTGTGTTTGTGCAGAGCGCTGAATTTGGTGCGGCCGCAGCCACGAACGCCGGCTTCGCCAGTCTCATGTCTGTAGTCTAAAGTGGAAAGACAACTTCTGGTGTCGTGCAAGCCTGTGATCCCGTTCTTTCTCGCTCGATGAGGCCTCCGCCTTCCCACATTATCGGTTGTTAGTGGTCAATGGTAGACTTGATAGTGCCGCATACCATTAGAAAGTCTAAGATGCAAGGTAATGTTTATTACACAGCCACTTATTTGCAATTACAGGCGTCGGGCATGAGCGACGACAAATTGCACGACAGCAGTCTCAAACCATGGTCCTTTCGAAGGTGAGTAAGGCAGCAGCACGCTCGAGGCCACGGATGGCTGCATGAATTTACGTGAATTTGAGTATTTTCAATCTGTGCCGGTCAGTTGGTGAAGTTAGGAAAGAGCTTGGGCTAATAGAGATTCGTGGCGTCGCAGGGAGTTCCATGTAGATGTCTTTCCCTTGACGCCCCGCGTCTCGACTGCGGTTCTCCTATCGGGTGACGGAACATTCCTTCTTGATTTGAATGTTAAATTTGTCAAATTTTTCCAATGAATTTTATATAATTATATAAAATTTATCTCATGTGAGCTGAAAGAGTTTTTCGATAATATGTGGTTATATAATTATTTATATTTTTTTTAAAATAAAAATAATGTTAAAATTTGGTTTTTAAATTTTTCTATTTCTTATCTTTAATTATTTTTTTAAAACTTAGTAAAAAAAATAATTAATTTTGATACAATAACTTAATATTTCCGTTCCAATAAATTTGTATTAGAAAAATATATCAAATTCAAAAAAATCTCCATGCATTGTATATTATTTGTTGAGATTTGATGTTGTGAAATAATTATCATTTCATATTATACATTGTTCTTATTTTACCTTTAAATGAATTGATGTTAAAAATTTCTTATTAATTTTTTAATATCAAATCAAGACGTGTACATACAAATTATAAAAATGTCATATGAAGTTTTTAATTTATGCTTTGAAATCCAATTAAGCTTTTTTCAATAACATTGAGCAAAAATTAATTCAAATGAAACTTTTGATTTAAAAGTTCCACAATTTTGAAGTATCAACTTTACAAAAGCGCAAAATTAGTTTGAACTCTGGTCTTGATACATAGATATTCTAACAACATTATTGAACTTCATAACATTGTTGATGTAAAACTTGTTTTGGAAAAACATAATCTGTATTTATTTGGTTTTAAGTCAAACAACATGTCTGGTTGGTGTAGTTGGTTATCACGCTAGTCTCACACACTAGAGGTCCCCGGTTCGAGCCCGGGATCAGACACTTGTGTTGCTTTTCCTTTTGACCCTTTTGGTATCACAGGTTTGATCCATTTTCCCTTTAAAGAAGCATTTATATTGAAAAAAAAGCTAATATATAATACCCGACATCCATAACTATAGATATATCTTATCATGGTGATTGTAATAACATCAATAATAGTACATATTTAGGACAAATTTTGAGAATTTTACACGTAAAATTTGTATATCTTGTCTAACTTCACACTCTAAAAATATATGCTATGATATATTTTACATGAAATAAATATCAAACTTGTTTTCATGTGTATTACCTCGGAGAAACATCACACTATTTACATAGATGTATGAAGTATCCATATTATGTCATTTCTAAATTGTACATGATCAAAATTGCTGTTGTTGTGGGAATGAAGCATGAGCTTTCCCAAAATTAACGTTGTCTACAATTTTTATCCCTTTTATATTGCATTAGCTAGTTGTTATAGAATGCAATATTTGCTTTGCTTTGCTTTGACCATTGATATCACTTCTATGTGATACAGCATTGGATCAAATTCTTTCCCTCAAAAACATGTTGAACTATATATCTATACGTGTATATTATTTCAACGCTAAAGTAAAATAAATTAGAGATCTACATATCATTATTTTTAAAGATCTTGAGCTTTACACAACACTTACACATAAAAGAAGACGGACTTTGATGAGAAATCATAGGAATTTGACTCTGTTATGGAACTGAAAACATTTGTATCGCTCCATATATTTCATAATTATTTCATACCTTCATTTCATCCCTTGGCAAAGTTTTCATTGCTTCACGGATGATCTAAACATTTGCATATCTCATACTAGAATCCAAGTTTTGGATCTCTGAATAAGTCATACCATGTTGGCATACAAGGCAGTTACTTCATTTGACCTCATCAACTCATGCTAATTCTTTACTCTGTTTGGCTGACAAGAATTACTCTTTGAATCATCATCTTGCCAGAATCCTCCCAAGAATACAAATTGAATCCATGGAAAGGTGGCTAATTGCTGAAACTTTCCACCCATGAGTTGTGTTTGAGTATGTCCCTGTTCTACCCTTGGAAGCGGTTGTGCCTCATCAACTTCGCATCGACTGTTAATTCTGCGGCTCGATCACTTGACGGAATCCAATATTCTTGGCATTTCGGGCATGCATAAGGTATGAGGCAGCTTTTATTGTGGATTTCACACTGCAGACGTCATGCGTTCTTGGTCTCAAGCCCGACCCGACAGTGACATTAACTTACGGTCAATCATTGTGATACTCTATTCTCTCTCTCTTTCTCTCTCTCTAAGTCTCATTATTTGATTGTGGAAGATACAAGATGGGAAATGTGAGTCAAATTTCTCTATGAGGAAATGAAAGCAGAAAAAGTACTAGTCCTCTTGCAATGTTATGGTTCTCAGGCATTGCCTGCTTCGACAAAGACCGATTTTAACTATATAGTTAGATCATTAGGTTCAACATTGCTGACTGGCAAAATCTGCTTCGACCCCTTCGAAGGTTTCTGTTCCTTGTTTTGAGAACTCTGATTGCTCCTCTCTTATGATTCAAACTGTTCTGGTTGTATGCTATTAGAGCAACAGAAGACAGTGGACTGAGAAACCAGCCTTTGAGTTGCTTTCTCCTTCTTTCCTCAATCTCGTGACACAGTGTGGTGTGATAGATCGAAACAGTTCGTGTTTATCGGCGTCTGTACATCATCTTGCGTTGCATGTGCAGGTTTGAGAAGAGGCCACTTGCTGAAGTAATCCTGAACGATGTGAAATGCTCCATAATTTACTTGCGCCATGCCATGAGAAGATAAACCCGAAACGTGGGATGAAATGAAATTTGGGCAATTGGCACATGTGACAAGCTTCCTCCTCATCTCATCGCACGATGATGTTGCTCTGCAGTTAAAGACTCGAAAATCCAGACCGACGACAGCAACTCAGAAGTAGAGTGAACTCACATGAGACGTACAGCCAATAAAGAGTACGCGTGAATGCAAGTCTTGCGAACTGGCAAATTGTACACAGCAGCGAGAAAGTGAATTTCCCTCAACTGTCCGAGCTGTACACTGATCAACCAAGGTACAGGCCACAGACATGAAAACTACAGCCGGCATTGTGAACACCGGCTGCCTCAGGCCCCCGACAAGTCCAACGGCGGAACTTTCTTAGTAATCTCCTCTGTACAGAACATCTGTCTCAACACCTTACGGAACAGAATCATGATGCGCCATGCGTCTGTGTGTGACTTCCGACTGTTACGGCTTCCATGGGTCTGACTAACTCCGACACCAAATGCAAAATCATGACACTACTCAAAAACCATCGACGGCAAAGCCCGCAGATTCTTAATCGGGCTGTCGATAAATAATGCTTCCATGAGTCGCTCGAATTAAGCAGAATCTCAGCAAAATAAAGATACTCATTCGGTTACAGAGCAGCAGATGTATTTGTCAGTGATCGGCAAAAGGTTAAAGTTCAAATTTCATATTAGTCACCAGCGAAAAGTGCCAGTGTGGTTTCTGTACATGGATCGGTGCTGGACTCATCTGACGAGGAGAATGCCAGCTATATGCCTGAATCGGCAGCAAAAGTTGTCTGAAATTAGCCCATCTAAGACTAGAATCGTGAACGAGAATCGTGGTCTCACATTCATTTAATCCTGTTAATCTCTCTCTCTTTCTCTCTCCTAATGCTTTTAACTTCCGGGAGCCTTCGAGATAGTAGATATTGTGTATCATACTGTACATTCGTCATGGACTTGCAATAGGCTCGGGAATCGTCCTTAAGCCACAGCCTGTGCCCTGGAGCCACAGAAGAAGAATTGAAAGAAAGTTCTCCTCGATGAATGTCGGACCTGTTAAGAACAATCAGAGGACTGTTAGTGATCCAGTTTTGCAATCACAAAGCATGTCCTGAAGTAGATTATCTTGAAGGATTTCACTCTCGACCATTCATTCGGTCATGGTCAGTAAGCTCAATCGAATGACTTCGATGGCCCACAGCATTTGCTCAAGCTTCCATGACATGATCTTTAATTTCTTCCGATAGGTTTGAAAGATTTCGATGATCAGATCTTCGTCATCTGGCCCACGTGAGACTCGGATCAGATCGGCCGAGATACTCGTCAAGACTGACGGGCCCTCATCCATTTGCATCCACCCACCGAATCCGAGAACCACCGGCAGGAAGAATGCAAAATCGCCGGCCGAGTGATCGACACAAGACAGAGCCCATAAGCACGCGAATGAATTTCGTTCTTCCAAAGCGAATGAATAATACTCACCACCGGTAAGCCATCGACGTTTTGGACATGGTCGCTGCTGCTGCTGGACTCCGTCGATCGATTGAAAGACTCCTCGTTGCTGTCTTCGTGCGGAGGCATGGAGCCCAATCGGCTGGCTCGGGCCCTGGCGAAAGCTTGGGAGTAATCAACTGCAGGCGCATTGGGATCCATCCTCCACGCACCGAATTGCGGAACTGCTTGTCGACTCTGCACAGCAAACGAGGCAGGCCGTGTACGTCTGCGTCAGTCTCCTCTCCTTCCACCAGTACACCAGTCTGTCAGTCAGTCGGTCGGTCATTCATTCATGCCCGTGACCAGCACCGACGATGGAGCAACCAGGACTCAACTGCGCCAACAGGCATGTCTCATCACAAGCCCATGATCAGGCTTTGATGATGATGGACGGGCATCGACCCCAGTCCAAGAGCCAGACAGTCCTCGATCAGTCTGCACTCAATTTCGACCTCAGCGAACTAATCAACTCGCTCGAGCTGTCGAGTCCGCGCCGTCGGAAGGAGCTCTCCGAAACGGGGTTGTAGAAATCGGGGGCAGTGTTGAATCGGTGCGACAGAAACTGCTAAAGAACGAAAACAGTGCCTGTCTCTACGACAGTTTGGACCATCTTGGATTGTCTGAGCAGAAGTGTCGTTGTGGCCCACAGCAAAAATGTCTTCGGGTATCAGCTTCTGCAAACGACGTCAATCCTTTCACCTTCGACATTCGGTATCCACGCGATGGACTCATCATTGTCAAAGTCCGACCGCATCGTCTGGAACCGCAAGAGTTCATTTGCGAGAATTCGAACTGCGATGACTGACAGTTACAATTCTTTCTTTCCCTACTCCAGCTCAAGTGGATGGGCAGCTTGCATCGAGACTGCTCAGGAGTCACTCGAAGCTGTGGAGAAAATCTTCAGGATTCAGCCCAGGACTCAAAACGCATGTCCTTTCGGTGCTCAAGAGGAAAACAGGAGTGGCAATTTACCGGAGAGTCCATAGCTCGTGGCAGATGCAAAATAAGCTCCTCCGGATGCGGCGCGATGAGTGGTCCGCGACAATCGCTCACGGGCTTTCTGCAGATTGAAAAACAGCAAACAACAGCAGAAACGATCAGACCAACTTGGAGTGGAGATCGAGAGCCTAAGATCGTCATGTGATGGATTCATTGTAACCTCTCCTGAATCATTCGATCCTAGGAAGCAGCAGCTGCTCGTTGGAACACACGCCGTCAGCTGAGAAACTTCGACCACAGAGCTAAGTTAGGACTCTGGACAGCTCAATTCTTTCAACAATCTCCTGCTTCTAACCTGATGTCTTCGATTGGAGCGCAACGCGAACCGACTTGAGTCCAGCAAATTCGAATGATAGACCACTGGACAGAACGAGAATTTCCAGAGGTGAAGCTCGTCAGGAGAAGCACCGGGATATGAAGAGAACGGAGACAGACTACAGATCAGTGTCAAATCCAAACAGAGTGTGCCAGCGCGTGAAAGTGAGCTGCAGCAGCGGAGGAGTACACTGCTCGAAAAAAAGCACGCAATGAGAGCATCTGGAATTGGATCAGAGATAGTAGACAATATAAACAGCTGGTGCTGTTGCTGGTGCTGGTGCTAGTGATGGTAGCTGCTTGCGGAGTCTACAGGTTTAATGGAAGACGGAGGGACAGGCAGAACCAGGGGCAGGAAATCTGAAGCAGACGAAGACGAGAGAGAGTAACGACCAGAAAGGAGCAGGAATCGTACACCAGACCTTTCGGTAGTAGTGAGCAGGTTATATGGCGTGCTTCTCGCTTGGCAGCACTGGTGAAAGCGATTCCGTGCTGCAGCCTTTTGCTTACAGACCGTCACACGAACATCTAGCAGTGGCAGTAGTAGTTCCTTCAATCAGCCTTCCTCACGCGCATGTATGTCTTCTTGCCTTGCCTTGCCTTGCCTTGCCTGCCTGCCTTGCCTGTCTTGACCTTTTCACAGTCTGTGAGATGCTAGCCTTGTCCGAGAGTGCTTGTCTTGGCAGGCAATTCTTCCCGCACTACAGTACAGTAGTAGGCTCCTACAGCTCAGTCAGTCTTGGAGATTCGACAGCGATTCGGCGCATTGGACGACGCACGGTCCAGGGCAATCGTGATTTCTGCTCGGGTTTGACCGGACTGGATAGATTTTACGAAGCCTCTCAAAAGCTCTCTTTCTTCTAAGTTCTTCTCACACGACCTCAATCTCCTGCTTGGCACTTGGCACTTGGCATTTTGCTACTGTGCCGGATCAGCTCTCGGTTCAGTAAATTGATTCCGGCTGCGACAGAGGCCGCCAAGATGTGCAAGCCATGAACGAGCAAGCAAGACTGGCGGATTAATTAGTTTAACTAATTAATTAGTTCTCTCTCTGTTCCTCCCTCCCTCCCTCGACTTCTCAATTGGATTTTGTAGCGCAGCTGTGCACTGATCACCGACCTGCGAGTGTTTGTGAGCTAAGGGGAGCAGATTGTGAAGCAGATTGCAAGAGGAGGACTGACACGAGGCAGTGGACATGGTGGTTACGGTTTTTCCACCTGATTTCCGGAGGGGGGCAAAAGGTGCGGGGGGCCAATGATGGCGACGCACCTGCAAATCTGGCGAGGTTCTGGGGGGACTCTGTCTTGGACAAAATCCTCAGCTACGCTGCCCCAGCATCCTCTCCTCCTGTAGCTGGCCCAGGGGGGAGGGCCGGAGGCTGGGGACGAATCTGATCTGAGCGGGCAGTCTGGCAACGATTCTCGACCTGTCAAGTTTCTCGATTCACCTTCACTCGTTCTTCCGGAAATGGCAAGGAAATAGCCCTGGGCGATTCTGGGGACCTGATTTAGCTGGAAGCTCCGGGGAAATTGAAACCGAATCTTAATCAGTTCGAAATAAAATGGGGCTCATTATATTTACTCCAATCATGCCTAGGCCTGCAAGCCATTTCTGAACTCCTGACCCCATGGCTTGACAAATGCAGCCAAGCTCCAGGTTTACTCTGGGCAGTGACAGCCTCAATTGTCCATTACTGCAAGCTATTCTCGAGGCGGAACTCTGGACTCTAGTGGACTCTAACCCCGGTCAGTCATCTGATTCCCATCGTCAATTGAATGTCATGACCATCCTGAAGTCACTATGGTTGCGCATGCAGACAAGGTACGGGTTTGTAGACGTCAGTGACACCACACAACCTCGAGACACCGGCAATTTGAGCATTAATGAGGAAGTGGGACCGAACGAGTTGACGCTTTCTTTCAATGTCCGATGGAGTTTTGTAAGATCAAATTGGTGCCCAACCGGTCACTCTCTCATTTGCTCTTTGATCCAAAACAACAGTGATGATAGAATAGAGCTCGGATCATTAGATTCTGAACAAGCTCCGAGTAGTGAGCTCTTCCTCTTCGCACCGTCCTCGACTTCTCGTCCCATTGGGGAACAGACGACAAAGCTCCCACAGGGAAGTACGTGACGGCAGCACATCTTCACAGGGCACCTGTTTCTCTAACAGTTCAGTCGCCAGATTAGCCACTCTCTTTCTTATCGGTGTCCTTGGGCCTTCACTAGATACTAAATGCTTTGTGTACTGTGGAGGCAGAATCTGCATTGAATGTGAGGTACAGTATGTATATGGTATACGATGTGAAATACCATCTTCAAGGAACATCCAATTTACATTCTGAAAAAAAACATTCTTCGAGAATGTGTAAAGAATTGAAGACTATTTTGCAAGTCAATAATTCTTCCATTTCATTTCGACGAGAGTTCTCACCTAGTGTATACGAAGTTGCACTAGCACTTGATGAGTACTGTCCTGTGAGTTCACATGGACGCTCCTGGGAATAAATGAAGGGCATGAGGTGGCAATCTGGCATTGATCGAACAAACGAGGACACAGTAGAAACATGGTGGATCATGGACTTTTCCAGCCCAGGCATCAAGAAACACTTTGTTAATTCACAGTTGACAAGAGAAGCTGAGCTCAACCGCGTGTACCGAACGTCGTGGCCCCACCATGGCTGTTTTTGAGGCGTGTCATTCGGGATTGTTTCGTTGGATGTCCAAAGCGAGTGACTTATCAATGGGTATGGAGAATTTAGCATTGGCTGAAATTCATATCATGAAAATAGTTAGAAGACTTCCAAAACTGATCTTGGCTGAAAAAGGAACCTCTGAAAAGAACAAACATTACTCCTCGAAGGTTTGGAGAAATATGTGTCCATTTCTGCACCCCTTTCAGTAAGTTCACCAAAGAACTCGGGGGCCAAGTGAACAAGAAAAAAGGATGGGAAGACACCAATCCGGACATGACCGAAGCCAAAAGATTAAACAGTGTATGTTGGTAGCTTCAATAACTTCACAGTGCGATATATGTACCTACCGTTCATGTAAAAGTCAAGAGGAACAGATATTCTTTATTGTGAAGTATGTTAGGTGATGTAGTGAATATTTCCCATATCTACTATTGGGGTAGCTCCTGTTTACCAGTTTAGCTCAATCCTTGTACGAGGTCTTCCCATCATTTCTGGGTATTTACTCGGCCCGTTGGTCTCCTTTGATGAGGGTAAGCAGACGGTTGCAGAAAATGGTCAGATATTTCTCCAACTCTTTGAGGATAAATATTTGACCATTTTTCGAGGTTCTTGTTCGAAAGACTGGTCACTATCTCCATGCTAAGAAACTCAGTCAACGACGGTAGAGTTCTAGTCTTCGCAGTGGGTGCATTTACTTCTTCTCTACGGCACCAATTTTCTCATGATCCTTTGTACTGTCAAGAGGTTACATGAGATTCCTTTAAACGACATAGGCTGTACGATGCGCGTCCTGGACAAAGTTATGGCAAAAATCTTGCATACAACTTTTGCAATAAAACAATAAAACAAGCAGTCATACATCAAACTAATTTTTTTCAAGCAGTAAAGTGAAATTGTAGGCGTTTAAAAGAAAAAAGCTTTACTGAAAGCTTGACATCGATGTGTGTATAGTCTTTGGTCTATACCTTTAGGCGGTTATCTGGTGTTGAGATTGGCAATCATACTTCTCTTCTGGTACCCTGATTGAAGTATATTCTTTTCTCACGTCGTGCCTCTAAGCATAATCGTGAACCAGAAAGCAGGGCTTTGAAATCTGAAACCTTTCAGTTGTCGGAGTGAAGAGCAAACAAAGTCCTTCAGATCCTGGAGTGAGATTCAAAACATCCTCGAAAAGGCAGACACAACAACTACAGGGAGAGTATTAATGGCTACACTTTCACGTGCTTTATATAATTGCATCCTTCGCCTAAAGGTGGCCAGCCCCTGCTCATACACACCTCAGACCATTACATTGCTTTAAACTTCATCATGAGCATTCTCTTTCAGAATTTCAGCTCGTCTGCTGTCAAGAGGAGAAGCAGCAGGAACTATCTTCCTGCTCGGCATCTTCAAGAAACTCGTCGTTCATCGCCCTGCGGTGGATGATGTAACGAGACCATGACCCACGAGACGGATCATTCAGACATGAACAAGATAAAATATTAGATCTTCATTCGTCACAGTTGGAGTCTTCAATTTGACAAAATAAATCTAGTCACTCACAGAGATTGTGCCAAAGTGAATTACACTTTTACGAAAATCACCGAGATATTTCAGTCAGAGGTGAATCACTTAATATGTTGATTATGCGCACGACTTTATTGCAATCCCGGCTTTCTTGGAATCGTACCTCCTGAATGAATGACACTTGCTTCATTTGTGGTTAAATTTATTGTAAATTGCTAACCCCTGTGTCCAGGCTACAAGTGTAGGAGATGCATATCCGACACCAGAGAAAGGATGCTCAATCTGACGTGGAAAATGAAGTCATGGCCTCACCTAGAAAGCCCACCAACTCGAGTGCTTGGCTCACGAACTCCTCGACTCTCACTGTGCCATGCCTCGGATGACAACGCCTTTTGGGTCTCGTCGGTGTCTTATAGGCATGTCAAAAAGTCAGAGCTGGGCGGTTTCGATATCTCAAGTGTTGACGATTCTCCTTTTACAACAACTGTGGATCCATCAGTCCGCTGTTCAATAACCATCAATCGAGGACCATAAATCTCCATGAAATGCTTGCATGGCCGTATTCCTCATGACATTGTCTCCAGTGGTTTCGATAGTAGAGTTCAATGAAGTTTGTGGGTTTGCCTGCTGTTGGCTCTTCTGGACTTCGCATAGCTGTACTGTATACCCTTTCTGGTACCAAACTGCTCTTCTTATTATGAAAGGAGAGAACATATCCAACGATGTGCTTCTGGGTCCTTTCTCCGACAGGAAACTGAGGCTGCAAAGCTACCTGTTATCCTATAGTTCTTCAATAGGATAGTTCCTACAAGCTTCCAAATGTTTTTTAGAACCCACATGCGTTGGTTGGAGACAAAAGAGTTCCAAAGCACCTATTTCTGACACTTCTGTAGGCTCCAGATTCTAAGACAGATGCGCCTGTGTGACCACTATTGTATAAGTAACTGAAGTCAATTGTTTTGGTTCCACTATTTGCTTTATTTTGTCCTTGTGCTTTGTTTTTTAGCCCCTTAGCCCCTACCGAAGCTATGCAGCATGGCCAAGCTTTGACGATGTCAAGCTTGACGAAGCAACGAACTGATTCTCAAGACATACCCCTCCTTGACACGAAGATGCTCAACCATGTACGGGCTATAACTTCATCTGGCAAGCCTGAGAAACGCTCTATTGAATCGATTCCACTTTTCCAATCGACCCTAAATAATCAACGGGATTAAGGGTCAGTACATCTATTTATTCAAACTCGCTCATACCAGCTCCTTGACTTGTGCATGGAACGTGGTACTTCGAGCTGCACCGAGAGGACAGAGGTCAAGTATTATCTAGTGATGTGCTTAGGCCAGGTGCCGAGAGCTTAAGGAGCACACTGAAATACGAGCATCATTGAATAGAGGAGCCCACAAGTCCGTGAGATTCATGCTCTGCAGTAAAATGGACAAGCAAAGTCATGAACAGGGACCCACATGCTGCGACAGGGCATGATGGCATCAATTTTGTAGTCCATGCCTCGTCCGAAGTGTTTATCGGCTTGTATAAACCCACTCCTCGTTCGAGCTATTTTGGGCAATTGAGACCCCGCACAGAAGAGCCTCAAGTTAATCCAAAAGCGCAGGCCAACCAAATTTGACTTTTTCAACTCCCTGATGCGCTCCACAGCACTTTCATCGCAGAGTAGGATTTCGAAATCTGGCCTTTCCTTCGAAATCTGGGAGCACGAAAATTTGGATCGATTGGGGAAACTCAGCTGCGTGTTTGTCATACAAGTTTCAAATTATATTTTTCATATTTCTTAAGTATTGCAGATGCAGTGAGATCCTACTCCTCATAGCTGATGACTTGATTTGCTACAGATCGACGACGTAAGGTGGTATGTCTTCTATCACCTCTTTTCCAACAGCCAGTTGCCATGCACTGCTCCAATGTCGTGGTGAGCTGCAGCACTCGATCAAGAGAAGCTGTTTTAGAAAAGGTCTCCGAGTCTCCATGCGTCTGCTGAGCCCATGGTCGGATCTCCAAAAAGAGAGCGAAGTACAGAACAGTACTGCTGCTGTGGGATTATGGCATCATCATCATGCATGTCCTTGGATGAAACTCGCCCCTTTCTGATTAGATTAAGTGAACACGCAATAAATGTGCGCTTAGGACTCAAATGATTATACTCGTGCACATCGCGTCGCATGTTCAGCAGTCACTCTCTGGACAACATATGGCGCTCTTATTTCCTCCGTATGGCTGCCTCGTAGTCTCCGACTTCCGCCGAGTAACTGAATCCAGGACCGACCTGGGTCCCATGATTGATGCCAGTTACGTGATGCTTCATAACTCTTCGTTTTATTATAAGACTTCAGAGGTCTTGAACTCTACTGGACCTCTCCTTCTCTCATAGATTTCCCTCTAGTGACATACTCCGTTTGCCCACGCGTACAGGCTAGAGAAAGACCTGCCCTTTATCTCCTACTTGTGGGGGAAAAAATATTCCAAAACCTTTGCCAGTGCAGTAACAAATGTTTTGGAATATATAAGAACTCAGTAGACTGATGGTTGAAAGTCGTTGGAAAGTGGGTCTGTCGTGCTCTCGTCTCCTAGAGATCAGAGTGTGTTTTTTATGCAATTACAAAGTGATGTGATTCATATTGAGAGTTGGAACGACGCTAAATGTCTCTTTGTTTTTCGGGCTAGAGGTTGCGTTACAACGACTTTGACTTGCTGCTATAGTTCGGACTTTTTTTTTTATTGTTTCCAAATTCAAAACTTTCTTATTTGGATATAAAACTAAAATTGACCCTTAGATGCCATTCCAGGTCGACCACAGGTAGCACCCAGGTCATATACGATGCAGTAGCATCGTATATGAATTCTCTGTACTGTAAAGAATTTATGGTCTTATTGCTGTTGTGACATGTTTGTTTACGTCAGCGAACCTACATTTGGAATTTTCCACTTGGTGTTTGGCACACTCTCGTATAAAGTGGTACCGAAAGGTAGTTCTTATGCAGGAGTTTGTACAGTACTCATCCTTATGCCTTCCAAGTGTCTCTTTCAGTCGAATAGACGACTTTTCTCGATACGGCACCTTCTCTCACCGACATGGCATTGGATTTCTCCTTAGTCCATGCAATAAAATTGTACTTGGTGAAAACTGTTTCGGACATAGTTGTGTAGGTATAGCTATAATGACATCCTAAAATTACGGAAGTGGGTTTTCAGCTCGATCACCATAAACTTCTGAACTTGAATATTGATTTGATAGTTGGTAGTTGATAGTCATAATAATATTAATGATTTTTCATTATCTGACGATAATTCCCTTGTACTATCCTGGCATCCTGCTTTCTTTGGAAAAAACTAGGAGTGTGTGATCAAATTGACAATGGGAAAACATATAATTTCACCAATCGCATTTAGATATGCTGCTACAAACAGATATATGCCTTTGGTTTCTGAATTCGAGTGGCCTTGCACATGAGGATAGAGATATTTTCCCGTATGCCACCGTATTTCCAATCACGAATATGAAATAGTTTTTATATAGGACAAATTAGCGGACTTTGTTTCAAAGATGATAAATGTCTGTTAAGGTTAGCCATTACTAATCTTCATCAGGTATATTACATACCTGATAAAGATTAGTAATGGCTAAGCTTAATCGTATGCTACATACCGTATATAGCATACGGTTGAAACAAACGAACGTTAGTAGAAGCAGCTGTTTTTGGTTCTGGACTGATACAGGCATGATTCCCCTGTGACCCTCGACCCGGACTACGCGCATGGCCTCCGATAAGAAAATAATTCTCTCCTAGAACGACTGAGAGCGCAAATAGGATATTTATTTTATTTGGCTGGGCAAAGCGCGATTCAATAATTATCGGTATTCTCCTGGTATATATAGGTAAACTTCAAAAGTAGACTAGAATGAATTAGACATTGGAGTTTGGTTGATTTAAATAATTAAAAATACGAATGGTGATTGCCATAGATTCATCTCCATCAAAATAATATAAAAGGCTTCTAAATTGAAACCATTTAATTGTAATAATTCATTTTGCAAAAGAAGACAAGTTAGTGTCATTCAAGGAATCTATATAATCACACCACTCCAGGAGGAGATGTATATGAGTAGTTTTCCCACTCGACTAATTCATGAACTGACATTTTCCCTGCTCCTCTTAAACATGCAAGTTAATCTGCTCAAGTTGCTCCTTCGTGCAAGGATGGTGGGAGGATCCTGGACAACTTGCAGCTTGCTAGTTATGACGGGCCTATCTACACCAAGAGTCACAAGCAAGTCTTCTCACTGTGAGCTAGAAGGTGATGGAGGCTTGCATTGAAGGCTTTCATTCCTCATTCTTCCGACCATTTTCAACACCATCTGTAAAAAATCGCCTTCTCGGGTAGGCTTGTTGAAATTCCAAAAGCTTTGATCTTCACCGATAAGGTTCATCATCACATTCGTTTGGCATCTACGTCAGGGAATGCTTGAGCTCCTCGTGTGTGTGTGTGAGAGTGTGTCGATCACGGCATTTCCATGAGAATGAGCGAGCTCAGAATGAGTTGAGCACCGAATCCAGATCCCACACGCAAAAGTCGTCGACAAGTGTAGGCACAATTTGTCACTTCTTGTGGGAGATGGTCGTCGCGGCTTCTGCGGCAGATTTACAGACGGCGCAACGATTCCCATCCATCCAGTCGACATTGTACAGTGTGATCCTCGTCAGAAGCATCGATCCATCAGCGCACATCTCATCATGGCTACTACGTGTACGTCATACGTCGATACGTCACCTTATCCGGTGATGGCAAATGAGCATCCAGTTCCGAGCTTTTGTTTTTCATGGCAAGTTGCAGACGCCACTCGCTCGCTTTTGCTGATCACTCTTTCCAAGTCAAGGTTTCCCTCGCGTCGCCTCTTTCTGCACATCGTCCCTTCGGTGCTCGTTAGCTTCCGCGAGTACATGTCATCTCTTCGTGCCATCCGTCATTCATATCGTGGTTTCTGATTAAAAGTGGACGCAGTCGTTAGAGGATTCGCAGATACATCGAGGCAGTTATAAAGCTCAAATCATGGCCACAAAGTTGTCGACGATGTATCTTTTCCCCACTCCTTCTGCACTGTGTTTCGTCATCTGCCTTCATTTAGACATGGCACAATGTTTAGTCCACATTTATTCTCGACTTCAATCTGTCGGTTGCTCGCTTTTAGCCACGAGAGTAGCACATCGTGGCTGCGCCACATGGCTATATGTCACAAAAATTCCATGCTGATGTATCTCGTGGCAAATGCTGAGATGTTAATTAGTGTGTTTTAAAACGCACACGTCCTTCACTATGATTTGTACTCTCATGCATCATGCACGTTTTAATCGATCGATACTTCAGATATGGTTCTTTGGAGCTAATCGAATCGATAAAATGGGAATTTCTTAACCTCTAATTTGGCTACGGTCGATGTGTGGATTCGGGGGCTTATCTGTGAGTAGAAGGTATGGTATGTACACAAGTACGTACAGTACGTGCCCGTCGGATTTGGTTGTATCTGATACATATCCCATGCTTGCAAAGGAAGTAGGGAGCCCATGGTCCTCGCACGCTTTGAATGGCCGCCGTTCTTCGAGGTTGCAGAGCTTGGAACAACAAATTGGTTTGTTTACTGCTACCCTGAGTCACTCATTCATTCATTCCATGTACCAAAAAGTCAAGAAAGTTGGGAGTGATGTCTTCGATGAGCCGGCTTCTGGCAACCACTGCACGAGGTTACATGCAACAACGAGTCCGTCGTGAGGCGTGAGGCTCATGGCGAAGGCTTTTGCATCTCACAATGTGCCGTCCTAGAGTCTACTGCTCGGTCCTACATCTGAATCGGGCATCAAGAATTGGAGAAGACTATCTGCACCTCCTGGCCTCACACTGCATCAAGAGCTGTGCAGAGATTGACATCGTCACAGCCAAATCCATATCCTCGGCCCATTATAATACTCATGTATAACATCACCCTCAGAGGATGCGCCGCAAAAGATTCTGAACCCGCCTCCCATTCGTTCGGTCTCCTTCTCACCAACCAGAATCGGGGTCCTCGGGCGGATGGAACGTGTGTCCAATGCGCCCATCACAGGCTCGGAGAGAAGAACAGAGCACTGTGTCCCGGGCAGCAGTGCTGTGCACCTGTACATAGAGTGCAGATCTGTCCCAAAATCCTGAGGCTTCGGTAATAGTTCTGGTCCGCATGCAGTCCCGACTGAGGCCAACTCGCACACTGTCGTGTTGGTGGTACGCGGGGAAGGCGTGCACAATTTCCAGCACCGAAGTGGAATGTGTGTTGCCTTCGTGACCGAGTTGGAGTCGATGGGGTGCAATTTGCTGCCTGCTGTTCAACTCCCAGCGCTTCGAGTCGTCCGATCCGCTCATCGAAGACTACAGTCACGCTGTCTCTGCGATTTCACCTCCCACCACGCCGCTGCACAGTCAGAGGCAATAGAGCCGTCGAGACCGTGAGGAACAAGAGGATTGATTCCCTTTGTAAGTACTTGTGAATCACAGCGATCCCCAGCTATGGCGCTACGCTATTTGATCGTCCTCGTCAGGAGGGCTTATTGATTTTATAAAGCTCTGCCCGTATGCTGAGTAGTGATTGTGGAACAGATCACGCCTTGCTGCTCTGGGGCTTTGGGTACTGGCATCGGTCCCCGAAGGTGGGATCTGCTTGCGAAGCTGTAGCTCGGTGACGAAGGCGTTGATTTGTCCCGTTTTTACATGTAAACTCGCGTAGAGCTCGGATTTCGTTCGAAAACATGACATCAAGTGGAGTCAGTGACATGCGGGACTGTAAGTAAATTAAAGAGGAGACTGTGTCAAAATCGACTGGCAACCAGAAAAGATATTTGCTGGTGGATTGTGGAGAAATCGATGCGGGTTGACGGTTCTAGTCCTGCGTTTCCATCGGAGGATAAGAACATACGATCTTGGATTCTGTGCCTGGATGTGGCCTGCACTGCAGATGAACAATTTTCTTGCAAACAGTATTCTGTGAAACGAGAAGAAGGAACTCTAGGATTCCTTGCCAGATCCTGTCTGACGGTTTGTGAGCGGTAGCTTATGGCACTGTGCTCGCGTTGATTTTTAAATTCTGGTTTTATTGCTGTCGGTTGTACTTCGAGCTCACCTTGAGATCTGCTTCTGCGCTGTTTCTTGTTCCGGTAATGTGTTCTCTCTCGGTGTACTTCGACATTGTCTCGTACAAATGCGACTCTTTGGGAGCACCGTGCTTCACCACACTTTCAACTTCTCTGACGTGTTCCGTCTTTAAGCTAGGCACGCAAAAATATATCTTCCTATGAAAGCATCAGCGACTGCATTGCTCCACTCGTCACAATTGATGTTCGTCAGAACAGTGGAACGAGGGGCCAAGAAGATAACAATGCGTGCGAAGGTTCCACCCCATGTTTTCATATACTGGACGGGAAGCAGACGCCAATGAAATCAGTGGGAAAATTGTCTCACAGCACCTACAATATAAGATATAAAAACAATCGGCAACTCACTGAACTTTGCTTCAGTCGACCCCGTGCAGTTATCAGCTTCGCCTTGCCTGCATCTAGTAGAAAAAGCTGAGAGTCGTTGTTAACGATGATGAATGTCATAAAAGATGCTCACACTGACGGGCCTCCCCTCATTTTTCACAGGATTTGGCAATACGAAGAGACGACATGTTAACATCTGTAATGACTTCATTCATGTGGATCTTTGTGACACTAGACTACATCTACGTGATCTGAAAAGCTAAGAAGGTCTAAGAAGAGTATTTGTCTAAAAGGTCTAAGAAGAATATTGTAAAGGAGATATGCTACATTCTATACAATAATTCGATTCATCGATATAGATGGTATCGACAATAATGTATGAGTTCCTGAAAATGACCACATGTTGGTGGAAAGGGCAAACAGAGCAGTTCACGAATCTATCCTCTGAAGTCCGAGGATTCCACTCAGACAGATGCACTTTACGAGCTGTTTCGATGGAACCAGTAATATTGATTGGAAAATTTTCAAAGTGATTTCAATATTGACGATGAATGACTGTAGCCAATAACGAAGTACAAAGCTGCATATAGACAACCTCTTGTACATCCCTGTTTCGTTCACTGGACGAAACTGATCAAAGATCTCCCATCATTACCAATTATGCGACGACATAATCTGTCTTCGGGGGATTCTGACTACGTTAAGATAGCTCAATTTTTTCATCTTGTGAACTAAACTCTAAGACCGTGCTTGTAATCTTTTACATTCTTGTCGACTCTGTAGCAGAAGGCAAGATCAAGGGGAGATAGCGCTTCGGCGTATATCATTGGTACAAGCCGAGTGATTACATAAAGAATGAGACCTTAATATACTGGGACAAATCTTGGCTTTGGTTGCCACTCTTGCTCTAACTAACTATATGTCACACCTGCTCCGATGCCCCTCGTAGGAGAAAAACTCGAGGGAACCTCAAGAAACTTTTCGTAGACTATGGCTGTTTGCAGTGCAGGCCGGCCAAAACCAGCAAAAATCCAGGCAGCAATACACTTCCAGTTTAGTGAGGCCAAACCTTGGAGCCCCTTACTCCCCTCTTCCATTCTCCCAAGTTAGCCAGATCTTCAGAATCAAGCCATTGGAATTCCAACTGCATACCGGAGTGAATGACAAACATATTAGACCTTCACAAGGACCCAACGTGTTTCGTTACCACGAGTGGAACTTCAAACAGTAGATTCAACTATTCGAACTTGATCTATTGTTTGAAACTTGTAACAAAGTTACAAGAAATTCGGGCCACGTACCTGTCCAACTCTTACAGTGTCACCTTCTCTTACTCCTTGGTCCCTAAGAGCTTTATTGACACCACTGGCACCCAAGACATGCTGAAACCTCTTAACAGCTTCGAAGTATCTGCAGCAACGATCATGAAGTTAACTTTGAGCGACTTTCGCTACGTTTCTGGCATTTGCACTATTGATAAATCGCAAACAAATTTGTCACTCGCAGTCTCTGAAGGAATATTTGGTTTCAGACCGAACAATTGAGTATTTCTGAACTTCTTGAAATGGTAAGAGTGAAGAAGTGAGATTGTGCTAGAAAAATCTCATTGATAATTCCGTGATTTCTTAGTCGACTGTTTTGGTAGAACAATACAAAAAAAAATACTTACTCCCAGTTGGTCATCTGTGTAAAGCGCTCTAATCCTGCTCCGTTGACTTGCCATGTTCTAGTGTGCTTGTCGGCAACAATCGTAAACTGCTCAATTGGAGCACTACGTTGCTTTCTCACAATCTCAGCAACTTCCATAGCCTTCTCTTCCTCTGCAGAATAGTTGTGTTTAGTTAGCACAAACACGCGGTAATTTTCTTTGATCATTGATCCGACAGAGTCGATGATTTGATGTTCATAATAATTCAACATAGAGCACACTATCACGATCAGCCAAACAGTTTCTTAAAAAAATGAAAGCACTTTATTAGACAATGCAGAACATAACCGTCATGATATATTGCCCTAACTTCATACGAAGATCTGAAGGGCAATGCATATTACTGAAAATCTGACGGTCGTAACTATTACCTTCCGTTGACTCCTCGGCATATAATTGTTGTTCTCTAACAAACGCATGGGCAGCTCGAATGACCTCTTGAGTGCCTTCTCTTGTAGCGGCACTCATACAAAAGGCTTCGACACCTTTCGATCGCAACTTAGCTTGGAAAGCCTCCCACCGCTCGGCCGCTTCGGGAATGTCCATTTTGTTATAGGCTACAACATGGGGTTTATCTGCAAGGACTGGATTGAAAAGCTGGAGCTCCAGTCGTACAGCTTCATACTCTTCATCTGGTTGAAGACTCATTCCGTCTACGACATGAATCTGTGTAAATGCAACGCTAAACATGAGGAGTGAAACAAAAGCTCAACATATCACCCGTGAAAAACCCCCTGGAGAAGATATTCTACATATTATAATCAGCAACAAGAGACGAGCTCAGAAGAGAGTAAGACGTGACCATAACCAGTCCCACAATAAACTTCATGCTTTAGGTCATGAATTGAACAAAGTTGAAAGCACAAGTTGGTGAACAGAATACCAAAACTCTGCAACGCTCTGTGTGTCGCAGAAATTCATGACCAAGGCCAACACCGGTATGTGCACCCTCCAACAATCCAGGTAAGTCTGCCACCACCATAGCTGCATCGTAATCTAAAGCCACAACACCTAAGTTGGGTAAAAGCGTGGTAAAGGGATAATTAGCAATTTCAGGTTTAGCAGCTGAAATTGCACTGAGCAGAGTGCTTTTGCCTGCATTTGGAACTCCTACTATCCCAACGTCTGCCACAAGCTTCAACTCCAGTTCCACCCACCTGTTATTTGCAATACGGATTAACAGAAATCAGAAATAAAGACTAGTATTAAAAAGCCATCAAGATTGATAAACAAAGGTATCAAAACTCGACCGAATGTATAACATGACGACTATACTGCACAATTAAGGTAGAAAGCTACTTCGCTATATTTCTCGTCTCTTGATAATTTACATTGCGTAACATCTACAGGTCAGACCTAAAGATGTGACCTTGTCTCTCTGGAACGTACTTCCGATGTTGAGCGAAGAAAGAATTTCAAGCCACGGTTTCGCTGTTTTATGTTTCTGGCTTAAACGTTCTATTCTTCTTACTGAACGAACTCAAAACAGCGCCATATCTGAACAAAGGGACAAGACTATTGTCTAAAAGAAAAAGCTATTCCAACTTGGTTTTGCTCACTCATTTTCGACATGACGTTTAAGTAGGCGTCCATACCTAAACAAAACGTATTTGGGTATTGACTTAACAAAACAAAAACATCTCTTTATGTCTTGATATCCAAGTCATAAACTCTTACATCATTACAGATGATGAGGTTGAGCACTCACATTTCCACTCCCTCTTCGCCGAATTCAGCCAATTGAGGAGCATTGTTACGACCAGTTTTAAAAGCAGTATTGCCTCGCCCACCGGCCCCACCCGGCAATAAGGTCTGGCGCTGTCCAGGCTTTGTCAACTCGAGCAAAAATTTTCCTTCAGGGCCGGCTTCCTTGATTATAGTACCTGGAGGCACCTTCACGGTTATGTCCAATCCAGCAGCCCCCTCTTTCGATTTTCCACCACCATGAGAACCCCTTCCTGCTCTGAAGTGAACCTTGTTTCTAAATGGTAAGAGTGAATTCATTGAAGTATCAGCTTCAATGTACACATGGCCCCCTCTCCCTCCAGTTCCACCAGATGGACCGCCAAAAGGCACAAACTTTTCTCGTCTGAAGGCTACCACGCCATTTCCGCCATTTCCAGCCTTGACATAGATCTTGGCCCGATCAAAGCAACGCATGACAGCCGGGATTCCTCTCTCCTTCACCTCCTCTTCCTCTTCATCATCTAGGTCTCCCCAGTCACTGTACTGGGGTTTTTCGGTGCGCTTGGACTTCTTGGATGAAGCTGCGACGTTCCCACCAGGCACCTCGTAGGCCACTTCCCAATCTCCATCCGTACTAACCTTTGTCCTTGTAATATCACTCAACTTGGACTTACTTTTCTTCACTTCCTTTTGAACACTACCATCCGCCTCGGGTGCCAATGTTTGCACATTGTCACTCTTTTCATCATCTGCTGCTAATTGCAGTTCCATCTTCTGTACAAGGCTTTTCAGCTCTGCCAACTTCTTCTCCATTTCAGTCCTGTCCAAAGGTACGTCTTCTGCAGACACCAACTCAGAATCCTGGGAATCTTCTGTGTCGATATCATCAAGGTCATCTTCAAAGGGAATGCTCGCCGTATCAGAAGCTTGTGCAGCACCTTTTCCAGCAGCTGCTGCCTTCTCAAGCTCGGCAATTTCCCTCTCTGCCTCTCTCAAAAGCTCTTCCTCCTCTTCGAGAGTCATCTCAGGTAAATCCCCTTCCCAGACCTCCACATTTTCCTCCTCCTCTTCCTCTTCAAATTCGTCGATTGGAACCTCTACCCATTCCATATCGTCGTCATCGTAGGTCTCAGGTGCTGTATCGAGACTAACACCATTCGAAGTGATTGCCGAGAGTTCATCGGCGACTGCGTCGGAACTCTCTGCTGCTGCTGCTGCTGCTGCTGATTCTGGTTCTGATTCCGACTCTGCTTCGGGTGCGGAAACAGGAGGAATTGCAGAATTGGAGTCGGTCACAGAATCCCAGCTCTTGGCAGCTCGAGGTTCAGAACGGGGCAATTTACTGGGCAACGGAAGGTCCTTCACCCGAACGCGTCCGACGGGGACATCTTCCTCCTCGCGGAGCTGCAAAACGCCGACAGAAAATGCTCCGCCCACATCGGCCAGCAGCAAGTTCTCCAAATTCTCCACCGCCTCCTCATTCCGATTCTTCTCATTCTTCTTCGACTTGCCGCCCGAGACGGCGACGGGGGCTCGGCTCTTCACGAGCGCCTCCTCGCGCTTGCGCACGAGCTCCTGCGTCTTGCCGAGGCGCAGCGCCTTGCGCCGGTCGCGGTCGATGCCGCGGCAGAGCACGAGGCCTCGCCCGTTGGAGGGAGCGCCATGGGAGCCGACCCCGCGGCGCAGCAGCGTCAGCGGCAGCGCCTGGCCGCCCAGAACCGACCCGCTGCCGAGCCGTTGGGGCGCGTTCCAGCACAAGAGCTCCATCGATTACCCGCGCATCCCCGACTCAAGATTGCGATTTCGACTGAAATTCGCGACTGCACGGGCCCCCGAGGCTTCGATGAGTTCGAACGCTCGAGCGAGCGAGCGAGCGCTGTTGTGTCGCTTGCTCGTGGCTCCGAAGTGGATCAGACGATTCTCTCCTCCGCTGTCTACGCTTCCGGACGGAAACGGATCAATGACGGCCTGCCGCCCGGATTATCCACTCACTAAATGCGTCGAGCCGGACGTATTTCAACCGGTTAAAATCCTGATGCCAAGTCATTATTTTTGAACATCCCCTTGAGAAGTTGAGGGGAACTTCTATTTTTTAATTAGAGGTAATGACGTATGATCTAGGTTGTTATACTAAAGACGTATTTATTCATCGTTCTAATGCTATTGGCATTAGTTACGCGTTGCCCTTTTCCCTGGTTAGTGAATTTTTAACTTGAAATGTACTTTTTGACCTTTTGGGTCCCACGGGCTTGATCTAATTACCATACTCATAAAAAATGTCGTTCTTTATGATATTTAAACTTTTACGGGAAAATAATGCGAAACGAAATAAAACCTGCACCTCACCGCAAGGTTAGACAAGATAATGTTAGAGAAATTGGTGTGAATAGATATCTTTCACGCCCTCAAATGGGATTCCTTCCTCAAAAGAATTTTTGTCCTGACAAAATGTTGTTCAGCGTGGAATTGGATTTCTCGATTGTGCACCGGCCTATGGTCGGAACAAGTGTTTACCTCGGTTGACAACGACGATTGTTCTTGCATTCTTGTAAAATATGACTTTCGAATATTGTGCTTTTTGTATATGCGCACGTTTAAATACCCCATATGCCACATTACGAAGCATCATGCACTTTAGCCAGAATAGAATGAGCTAATTCTTTCGATAATATTAGAAGTGAATAACTTGTATGTCCGGTGCTTTTTAAATTAAAAAAAAAGTGCACGACGTATCTCCTCTATCATGTATTCTGGAATTTACCAAAACGCTCGAGCTATTCTGTCCTTACATAGTTCAGAGTGCATTATTTATCTAGCAGCCAATCAAATCACCAAAGATAGTATGAAGAGATTCCGATTGGTAGTGCAAGCTTTAATGCAGGAGCTATAAAACACACGTGGCATTAAAAGTGCAAATAGAATCCATCAATGAGATGACCAAAGCCCGAAAGAACATACAGAAGATCTAACCTGAAGACCAAAAGCCCACGCTTGCTGCTCACATGTGAATTAAGGAGTTTGGACTAACCCAATGAACCACTCGAGGTCAGAACATTATTTCAAGTTAACTCTGCCATCGACCTCGAAAAAGTGACCCTTGCCCTCTACCGAAAATCAATTTCGAAAAATAAAGGTACGAAGAAAAGGAGGAGGGAGGAGGATAATTCTGGGGCCTAATAGATCGACGAATGAGGTCCCTTTTAGTGGAACGGTGGGTACACATTGTATTTCGTCACCAATGATGACGATTGCCGGCTACATTACATGTCAGGTTGCTTTTCGGGGCTGGTCTCCGAGGCCTTTCTCGAAAATATTCGGCATTCGATATTGTAGCTCACTTCGTCACATAGCCACCCAAGAAACATGACAAATTGCTCGGGTTTATTTAGACGGAGGCAGGTGATGCATAATATTATGAACTCCTGCAGGTTCATCTATTCAAGCGAATGTAAGAATTCACATCTGTTCGTTAGCACGAGGTGTATGACGAAAATGGTGATATTTATACACATGAAGTCCGCAACGATAATCAATTAGTGTCATGTGTATTATCAGAATTGAAAATATTGCCGGGCGGGTCTCATTTTGACTCTTCTCCCAAGGCCGATGTGAAGGAATCTGGTCACAATATTGCGCTCCGTGTTTTCTAAATCGGAGTCGGTCCAGAAGGCAATTCCCGCATGAGTCGCAATTCCGGCGTGAACTGCCGGCCGCTCATCGGATCCCGCACAGGACGACAGATGGACGATTTCTCTCGTCGAGCATAGACCGATTGCATGCATTGGGAGGACGCATTGAAAGCTCGAGGAGCCGGAGACCTTGGTGGGACATCAGCACGAGCATCTTCGGCAGACAGACACTCTGGTAAGAGCGACAGATTGCTTGCAATGTCTGAGGGCGTTGAATCGTTTCAAGTTAGGAGGAGTTTCGCAGTGATTGTCAGCGTGCTGATCGAGCAGTGTGCACGATTTCGGAAATAGAAATGTGGGGAGAGCAACGAGTCAGGTCTCTGGAGGCACGATACTTCGACGATTCGGCATTGTCGAAGTATCGTGCAAGGGTCGGTAGTGTTCATCACTCCTCTGAATGAATTAAGTACGCAGCGAAGGAGGTTTTGAGTGTCGTAGCTTGAATGCTGCGTAGTCTTCGATGAGGGGACAGGATCAAGGTTTAACACTTCGTCAAGGCTTTCTCCGTCATTTTCACTCACTTGCTCCGCAGGAGTCTTCAGCTTGGAACATGAAGATGACCATTAGCATTGCATGTTGTCAAAGTCATTGATTCAGTAAGCTCGGATCACTGCACTGTGCGGACAGCTCGACTCTGGACCAGGACTGTTGGAGTGTGATTGTTAATCGGTATCACGTTTGGGATTGTAAGTGAGAATGCTGTGTGTGCAGAACCCAGCTCCGTCAGCGGCTTGAAGACGTGAGGTTGCTACATATTATTCGCCGAAAATCGAAGATGATCAACCCAGGCGCTAAAATGGATGTAATCAAGACTGCGGAGGCGCATGGCTACTCTCGGGAGGATGGCATATGGCGGAGTCAGAGACCATCCATATCAATCCCTGAGGAGGAGACTGTGGATACTGTGGGAATGTACTATCGAATGGCTCCAGACGACGATCGACTAGCTTTGGTTGATGTGGTTTCGAAGGAGGAACTGACCTACAAGGAATTCAAGATCAAATTTCGTACCGTGGCCTCCGGATTGCATGAACTCGGTGTGCGGAAGGGAGATGTGGTCATGATCTTGTCACCAAATTCTGTTTGGTTTCCTGTCATTATCTTCGGCTGTTGGTTGGTAGGAGCAACTGTGACCACAGTCAATCCGGTGAATACTTCATACGAGATAGAGAAGCAACTGAAGGATTCTGGTGCACGACTCATATTTACTGTCCCAGAGCAGTACACCAAAGTTCAAAATTTTGGGAAGCCGGTTGTGCTCATTGGAGGAACCGAGCAGCAGCATAATGTCCCCAAGGGCGCGACTCCTTTTACGAAACTGTTGTCCGCTGATCCCCGCAGAGTCCCCGAGGTCACCAGACGACAGTCAGAGATAGCTGCGCTTCTGTACTCTTCAGGAACCACGGGAATGAGCAAAGGAGTGGTTCTCACTCACAGGAATATCATGGCTGTTATACTGCAGCTTCTCTATGATGCTCCTCCGGAGGTCAGGGACAGGAGATACATGGTCATGTTACCAATGTATCATGTTTATGGGCTGGCCGTGGTGAGCATTGCGCAATTTTTTAGACCGGGAGCTTTGATCATTATGCCCAGATTCGACACGCAGCTGCTTCTTAGTTCCATTGAGAAATACAAAATTACCGACCTTCCGGTGGTACCACCTATCATTATTATGCTTGCCAAAAGCAAGGAAGTTGATCGATATGATATGAGCTCTCTGGTTGAGATCACTACTGGTGCGGCTCCTTGTGGATTGGAACTGACCATGGAGCTTCACAGAAGGTTACCGAATGTTCGAATCAGACAGGTGAATTTCTCAATCGACTGTATTCTTTTACTCCACAATAGACTTTCAAACCGAAATGTCTAGCACAATCTGCTTACAGATTCCCTTCATACAGACTTGGATATGTACGAACGAAGAGGTCATGACTTGACTTCTTGCACAGAGTAAGATTAAATCCTAGTAATTTTGCACGACTGACTCATCAGTACCCCATTTCTCTCAGGCATTTGTGCTAGACTAAAATTTGCGCCAGAAAACTGATTAATACCAGTTTGAGTATGAAATCCTGAGAGATTTTATAAAATGAATTAACAGACGTGAATGAAACTTCGTTCACGTCAGTATTTTCATTTTGCATTCACTCTATTCATGTGATCTGCAACTGTACTACCACCCTTCTTACTGAGTACTTGTACTTGTTCTCACTATCTATATGTATATAGTTTCAAATGTTTTCAGAAACTCTGCAATGCTGTAAGAAAACCTGTTACTAGTTCTCCATGAGGCTCTTGACAAAGAGTTTTCGTCAAATGAGACAGTAAAATATTGTAATAATCTTGCGTAAGTTCCAGTGTCAGAGATTTGTGTACCTATTAGTACACTCCTAACTCCTTGAAAGCACCTGCTTTGAAGATCCTTCAGAGGGTAGAGATCTTCAGAGGATTCCAGCATATCGAGACCACCGAACAATGGGGAGTTACATGCCCACCATCTCCTCGAGATTGGTTTACGACTGTGGCCACCTCAATAACCATATTACTAGGGGCACTTTAAAAAATCTTGGCAGGGGAGAGACTCGGATGCAGAACAACCGACATGGGATGACATGGGATGCAGAGGCCTAATTTCCTAGATGCTAGACACCAATGTGTTAAGTGTCAACCAAGTAGACTGAACAATTCTCGCTTAGTTAAAATCACTTTAGAGAATATTACTTCATGTGTTCGTCCTGTAAACTAATGAAAGTTAGAAGTGATTATTGTGACAGGGTTTTGGAATGACAGAGACCAGCGGAATCGTGGGTGTGAATGTTAGTAGACCAGATAACTCACATTTCGGCTCAACTGGAACTCTAGTTTCTAATATGGAGGCCAAGATTATCGATGTAACAACGGGAAAAGCTTTGCCACCTTACGATCAGGGGGAGATATGTGTGCGAGGTCCCAACGTTATGCGAGGTTTGGCTTGGTTTCTTCAACACCATCCTGTTCCATTCATACTTGCGTTCTAAGAAGCTTTGTTTGTGACTACGCTTCTGTGAGGATGACATACAGCAGTCGGTTACAAACATGCGCGGGAAGGTTATGAGTGTCAGTATGCGATGACGTGTTGTCTTGTCAGAGGATCATGCAAATGCTAGTCTTGAAAGTACATATGGTGGAAAGACCAATGTAGATGCTGCAATTCGCGACCTACATCATCTTGGTCTGAGTTTCCTCTGGATAATGACATCGCAAGTTAACATACCTCTTGTAAACCAATACACCTTTGTCATGCTTATCCTTTATTTAGATTTCGAATAAAAAATCTTCCATAATATTCATTCAAACCACCTATCACGGATTTCCACTCAAAGCGATCCTGGTCAAGGCCATATTCAAAAGTAGAGTTTGAAGTTTTCAATGACTTTCTGACACTTCCCATGGAGACATGTGAAGAAGAGAAGTAACAATGTACATGTCTGCTGCTGTACACCTGAGTGTACCTGACTGTCAACTGAACTTTTCACTTTGCTGAGTATTGTGTTTACTGCAGTTTCTCAAGATCTGTCTCATTAATTCTCTTCTATGTGTAGAATACTTGAACAACCCTCAAGCAACAGCTTCAACTATCAAGGAAGGATGGTTACACACTGGCGACCTTGGTTATTACGATGAAACAGGACAGCTGCATGTTGTCGATCGTTTGAAGGAGTTGATCAAGTACAAAGGTTTTCAGGTGTGTTTTTTTCCTGAGTTGAGAATAGACTTCAGGTTTACTTGTTCTTGGCAAGTAGATGGTTTAGATGTACCCTGGAACTAAGTTGGACTTACATAGTTGTAAATATGAAGTCCAAATCTTTATCACGAAACATCGTCATCTCATTTGCAGCCATGTTACTGTTCACCATCCAAACTGGAAATTCCTCTTTGTGAGGCTCTTTCGCTTTCGACTTATTTAAGTAGGGAATCAATCAAGTTCAAAAGGAGTACTTAGCATACTACAGTATACTAGTATTTATCTAAAATCGTTATCTGGCTTTATTCTAACTATGTCCTTTTCAATAAAAAAAACAGGTTGCTCCTGCAGAACTGGAAGCATTACTGCTTACCCACTCCAAGATTTTGGATGCAGCTGTTGTTCCGTAAGTCATGATTTTGTTGTAAACTTTAGGTAGAATGTATGGGCAGTTTACGTTTTCTTCCTCTCTATATGTCTTTGAAGAGCGTCAGTTACAAGGTTCCCTTTTTTTTTCATGGATTTCGTAGTAAATTAGTCGTCTTCTTCTGATACTGTAGGTTTCTGTGTCAATTGGTCGTTTCGTTCGTATAATGTCTTCCTGGCTTGGATATCATATGGGTTTTATTTATAGCGATTGCCAGGTTGCAACTTACATCCCTACACTTTCCATCGTTCTGAGTAATTTTCTACTTTTCATGAGCCAGTTTTTCACGAAGAAAAGTTTCTTCGCTTTAGATTCGGAGGGTGTCAAAACATACTCAAGGTGCCGCATTACTCTATCTTGAGATGTGTTGACTTACGGTAACTTGATGTAGTCTATTGATTTGTTTTGGTTTTTTAGATTACCTGATGAGAAAGCTGGTGAGCTGCCAGTGGCTTATGTGGTGAAGGTCGCAAACTCTAAGTTGACCGAGCAAGAAGTCATCGCTTTCGCAGCAGAGAAGGTAATCAAGTGTGTTGAACCCATGTGAATACTATAATGCTTTGTATGTGCCATTTCATTTGGAATTGAAGGTCAATTTAATGCAGATTTTGGATGCATTGTTTTTTTCTTGAGATGACGTATACGAAGAGGTTGTAAATGTGTAACATCCTGATCTGTGCAGTCATACTGCCTAATGAGTCACACTTTATTAGGAGATCACAACAGAGATTTGCTGATTATGCTATTACATGAACTCTGTTACATAATTAACAATATTTTTCTATTCAATTTTGTAGGTATCTCCCTACAAGCGACTCCATAAGGTCACTTTTATCGATGCTATTCCGAAATCTCCATCAGGGAAGATCCTTAGGCGCGAATTAACATTGCTGGCGAAGGCAAAAGCCAAACTTTGAGTAACTCCATTTACTACGACACACGATACATGGGCGTTTAGAGTACGTAATAGGATAGGTTAGCTCATTAAATTCTGAGGCACATTTCGTACTTCAGTTTAACTTATATCTGAAGTCGTCATCAACCCGAAGGAGGTTGATGAAGCAACGACGTCAATCTGTACAAAGAGTACTCTACTCATTTCTGTACAAAGAGTACTCTACTCATTTCTGTCTTTGCCAGTGCCCATGTCACCAATGAGCTGCAATGCCCATGAAGACAAAATGTATATAAAGAAGTATAAACACATAGTTTCTGTAGTATCCTGGTGAACACCTGCACAGTTTAAAATTCGGATGATAAAGAATGAATCATTGGGTCCTCGTATTCGACCTCCATAGGACTAGAGGTCAAGTCCTTCATCTATATTGAAGATATTTTTTACATCCCATGATTGTAATCGCTCTTGTTGATTATCCTGCGTAGATAGTACCTCGACCAACGAAGAAAAGTTTTTCGTCAAGCTTGTAGAAAAGTGTGTCAAATCTCAACATCGAACGTTTCGCAACTTGTAGTCCATCCTTGTGCATCTCTTTCCCCCTCTTGACTATCTTTACTGGCCCGTTGACCATTACTTTCTCCTCTACATCTGCGCTCTCTTCTGTTTGCAAGTAATTCTCCTATTGAAAACCATGTTAGAGAACAATGTAAGTGATAGAATCCCATCAGTCCCGACCGCTTTTGTTTTGAAGGGAGGTTGTTTTAACCTGATAGTCTAGGCTTAAGAAATATGAGAAGCACTGAATGGTTTCAATTCGAGGCTATGAAGAATATATTCAAATTGTTTTATTCTACGGACAAATCGTACGGCAGGCCCTTATCTAATCAATACAGTGATGCATCTGATCCAAATGATCGGGGTTATGCCACATTCTAACGTCAGGTGCAAGGTGCACTGTGGTCCTCTCCTGTTTCCCTTGTATGTTTTTATTCACCTATGCCTCTGTGCCCTAGCACGAGAATGTGGTGTGGAGTCGAAGTAGGTTCGTAAAAATTATCTCAAACTAAAAACTAGAAAATGTCAGTTTCTGGTCGTACTTCAGACATCGTGGCTTTTGTTGGAGTTAAATTACTTGAACACGTGTTTCGTTCTCGTACAGAGGCCAGAATTCTGAGGAAACTTGAGTTGTGTGGGGTAAAAGGCCCGATATTGTTTGCAGTCGTATTGTCAAACTAATTATTACCACTGGTTTTATAAATTATATTTTCTTAGGAGCATCTCCAGTGGGCTCAAGCTCTGGTATGCAGGAAAGAAGCTTGTATGCGCTTATACAATTATATTTTTTATATAATTGTATATTATATAATGCGCATATTACAATTATAGAATTAGCTGACCTGATATTTTGACATCCTTGTGCACGTTGTGTTGTGTAGAGAATTTCATGAATAATCATCCCATCTTTCCCTTTCTCATCTTTCAGAAGGTCAATTTCTCATCTGGTGCTTTTCTGTTAGTACTCCACGTTGTGATATGAATCTATTGAATATTAAAGACATCTGACTTGCATTCCAGAACGAATTACATTATAGAGTAAATGGAGAGGGCATACTTAGAATTAAAAGTTAGTCTCAAGGCAAATAACTGACATTTGCCTTGTTAATTCTGCAACTTTTTAAGCATTGACTTAGTACGGTAATTTTATTCCAATGTCTCTAAACCCTTTGCCACGGACTGGCTAAGACTTGGCAAGTCGCAATCCAGTAAAGACGGCTTTATCATATTTCAAGTTTGTTTCAAGGTAGTCTAATTTGGCTTTGGGATCATCTCTAATAATGGTTCAACTTTGTCTTCCCTTTTCTTATATACCTTTCTTCTTGTTAAGTTTACAAAGCTTTAGCATCGAACTTTGAATCAATCTCACGGAACTTGGAATCGACTTCAATTCTAGGTTGTCACAATTGTCTTCACATTCAACATCAGTTATATTATGTTCAGGTTCCAAGAACTAATTCTTAGCACAAAAATCACTTTTCGAAAAAAAAATTGGTGAAAACCTGCAGAAACTGCAGAACGAATTCAATTTAGTTTGAGTTTTTTTAGAAATAAGTCGGTGAAAACTTGTAGAAACTGCCTTATGTATTCAATTCACTGCGAAACACGGAAAATCAGCTCCAGGCAAACAAAGAAGTGACCGACAAGCAAGAGCAACCGAAAGACAACGTATCAAAGACCACCAGACGAAATTGCGGAATCCAACCCCCAACCTAAAAGAACTACAAAAAAATGCACACACAACCCCACCAGCCATAAGTCCACCAAACCCGGCCCGCAAAAACCCGGAATACCAAACACAGAATAGCCACGAAGTTGTGGCCCACGAACCCAAGCTCCAGAAATATCACCCACACAAATAAGCGGAAGAGAGAAAGAAAACGGAATGGAAGTGCTATGAGAGAGTGCCGGAACAAAGCCCCATGGGGAATAATTCCAAAGAAAACGAGAACATGGTCTGAAGCTCCAGAAAGATCACCCACACAAACAAGAGGAAGAGAGAAAGAAAACGGAGTGGACTGGAAAGTGCTACAAGAGAGTGCCTTAACGAAGCCCCGTGGGGAAGAGTTCCAACGAAAACGAGAACATGGTCGAAACCTGCAGTCTCACAACCCAGCCCAGAACTAAAAGCTGAACCTTAGTTGACAACCGGCTATTCGAGATATGCTCCTTCCAAGCAGATTCGCAAAATAACCTGACGTAACTTGGAACCTTCAAGATAAAGCTAGGATGGGGGAGAATCTACAACCCTCCTAGCAGAAAGAGAAAAAGTATCAAATCTGAGCGCTACCCCGTTCGTGGGGAGCTTCCTTTCTTCTTTCCATGTCAAAGTAATGTTTTAAGTGTTTGTTGAGACATCTCTCAATTCTAGTAATTAATTTACTAACTAATGAATTTTAGAGCGTTTGAACAATAACCAAAATAAAATAAAATTGGAAAGACTACAGATGTTCAACTCTTTCACTCAAGAGATAGCATTGTCAATTTTGTTGCGATCTCTAGCATGAATGTTTACGTTAACAACTAGATTAGTATATAAAACGTAAATCCTACTCAACCAAAGATAATTACATATTATGGTCATGAGCATTCATTCACCTCCTTCCTGAATACCATTTGATAATTTCATATCTCTGCAGGCCAAGTGTCATGCGAATACACATCATAATACAACATACATCGCTGACATACCAAACATACACACAAATTATAGAAGAGATCATATACAAATACAACTGTACCAAAATTAAAAATCCATAGAAAACATACTGTTATAAAACACAATATGGAAGACCACAAACAGTCGAGCCAAGTCCACTTCACTACTAAGAGAATGCAAGCCGATGGTAATGAGAATCTCAATTTTTAGATGTTACTCACGAACGAAACTATCTCCCAAAGATTAAGGCTCAATTTGAAGTACTAACCATTCATATAGCTACACAAGATGGTATACCCCTCACATACGTTGGCTTAATATTGATAGGAGTCAACGTATTTGTAGGCTATGTGATGGAAGAGAAGTTGAGGATGAAGAGCATGTATTTCTTACTTGTACTAGATATGCAGAGATTAGAGTGACTCATAATATAGATGTAGAGAATTTTTATTCTTTGTTACAGTTAGTTCCTTTTGATTTAGGTTGTTATATTAGGGACATTATTAGTTATCGTTCTAGTGCTCTTGGCACTAGCTAGGGTTTGGCCTTTGGGGTCTTTTCCCTTGTTTGTGGCTGTCGCTTGTATTGTGTTTTTCAGCCTTTTGACCCTTTGGGTCCCCCGGGCTTGATCTATTACCATTTACCATTTATTTATACATGAGGGTGGGTACTACCACGAGTCGTCCTCATTAGATCACCCTCAAACCCTAATATACATGAAACCACATCCTATGTATGTAGTTCCATCTCTCACTATATACCTTGGCAAACCTGAGTATGGTCACGACACACGTTCCAAAAGATGCAGAAAATTATTTGCTAGCTCCAAAATATTCTTGTGGCCAGCATTATTTCAACACAACTTGGCCATAGCATCTCAAACTTTTTGAGACTGCGAAGATCAAATGTTATTCAAGGAGTAGGTGAGTGGATGTTGATGACAAAAATATGTAGTCATCTTTGGTTGAGTAGAATTTAGATTCTATACTCTAATCTAGTTGTTAACGTCAACATTCATGTTAGATATCATAACAAAATTGACAAGGCTCTCTTTTGATGGAAAGAATCTAACGTCTATAGTACTCCCAAGCAGTTTTTTTTTGTTATTGCTCAAATGCTCCAAAACTCACTAGTTAGGAAATTCACTACTAGAACCGAGTCATTTGTTGAGACATCTTTAAAAGATGTCTCAACAAATGCTTAAAAAATTACTCCAATCTAGAAAGAAGAACGAAAGCTCCCCAGGCGGCGTGGGCAGCGCTCGAAACTGATCCTTTTTTGACTTATGCTATGAGTGTTGTAGATCCAACCCTATCCTAGGACCTCCAAATGATGCAAAAGATTATTCGCTAGCAGGAAAATAGTCTTGTGGTCAGCAATGTTCCAGCGCAACTTGACCACAACATCCCAAGTACTCCGAACGCGGAGAAAATCGAACAAAACATGGAGAAAAAATTCAAAGGCGTCGCATATCCTGGAGGGACCCCATCAGAACGCCTAATGCTTGATGGAACCCAATACGTTACATTTTATCCGATGGCCACTCAACCGCAAATAAAATCGAGATCTGGAAAAGGGAAAAACATCGTCAACGTTTGACAACCCTAAACCGAGACACAAGAGACGTGTGAATAGATAAACAATTTTGAGGGAGAAATTAAAAACTCTAGATATGACTGAACAACAATTTACTCACAAAGAAACCCCATAGTTCCGACACCTCTATGTTCACAACTTGAGTACACACCAGCTTCAGTTCTGGAAGGTTGAGAACGTTCCATTTTATCCGATTTTATTTTTACACCGTCACTTCTGTTCTCATATAAGTTCTTGTAACTGCTTTATTTCCACTTCCATGAAAAAGTGAGATTCTCCCCTAAGTTCAGTTAGTTAGAATTCTCATGGTTTCGCATTTTTCATCATGTGAGAGCCCAATCTCTCACGGTTGAGAATGATTTTACAGGTATAATGTATGGGCGTTATTTATTTATTCTTCTCTATATTTTTTTCTAAAACTCTTGTCCGAAGTCACTTTAGTGGCCTATTTTGGTCCGTGAAGTCCCTGCTTTGAGTACCTGAAGGTGCCTCGCTGAAAACTAGTGAATAATTGAAGTTCGAGGAGAAGTCACTTTTCAACAAAGAGCCCGGATTCAAGGCAGTTACAAGAACTCGTAGTAGAACATCGGTGACGGTTGACCTCAATGCCGTCGGAAGTGTTCCATCAGGTAAAATAGAACCTATTGGGTCCCATAAGTAATTCTTCCATATCCTGGTTCATATCATGGACTATTAAGAGAGTCAAATTCGTTCGTGTACATGACATGGTGAAGAACACATCACATAAAAATTTTATCCCAATTCACATTCCAGAAAGATCAAAGCGTCGCAAACAACTTACACCAACCGTGTCATTTCATTTCAAGTTCTCGGCAAAAGAAAGGCGGTAAGCACGATCTCTATACCAACAATTTGTAGCTTGAATAAAATTTCCAGTCACTTGTTGATCTCTCAGCTTCCAGCCAGTGCTTGAAAACAGAGGGAAATCTTCAATTCATGTAGAACTCAGACACTTTTTGAAAATTAAAAGTATGGTAGAATTTTACTATAACGGCTTTGCATTGTACTTGCCCTCACATAATGAAGAAAAGATCCCATTTGGCCCAAACAGCAACAACGTTAGTAAGTTTCAGCTGAAGCCTCTCCGTTAAAATCTCCTTTGTACGGGAAGATATAGTAAAGCGCTCGCTAAGAATGAAATTAATAAGATCCCTAAGAATAATGCTAGCAAGAATATAAATATAAGAGTATATAAGTGTCAAAATCAGATCTGATATATCAATTCCAACTTTCCGTAAAAGCAACCCCTTCAGTGCCAGAAAGATGGAAAGATTGACTAATCAAAATAAGGTTAACAAACCTATAATTACATCTTACATTAGAAAAAAAAATTTAAAAATCCCAAATTAGACTCTTCCCAATGGCATGCAAACGAAGAACTCATTTTTCGTTTGAATTCGTTCAGTACACCGGCTGCTGTCGTGAGCGCGCACATGTCACATGTGAAGCCAACGTCCGGACGGAGCCCGATGGGGCCTCGTACGTGCAAAGGTCCAACATCGCGCTCTGCAAATTCTGATTTCGCACATTCTGGACATGTTGGGCCGTGTCGAGCGTGGGGTGGGGCGATGGAGCGCCAATTCTCGCGTGTGCGGTTGGGGTATGATTATGTCACCTGCGTACAACATGTAAGCTTTTGATGACCTTTCCATCTCTCGAGCCCACGATCGTCGTGAAGGCTGTCTCTGTCTCGGACGATCAGAGGACCGAACAGCATCATTAAGTGTCCCCGGCTGCTGTCTCCCGAGGGCAAGGTCACACTGCTGCTGCTGCTGTCGAGGAGGAAGGAGACGAACCAGTGTACTCGAGAAATGCGCAGCGAAAAGTGCTCATTGGCAAGGCCGTCAGCTTTTGGCCACGCTGCCCAGTTCTGGGCGAGACATGTGCGGGGGTGTTGAGCTCCATGTGCTTTGCTGCCTGGCTTGCTGTGGAGGCCCATTCATGAAGCCGAGTTCATTATTTGGCTAAAAACCGATCGAGGTGAGAACGGATCCGATCGGGTCATGGTGACATAGTGTAACAGAGTGCTCGTGGAATAGTGGATTGAATGAGCGTCGAAAAGGCAGACATGGATAGTACAGAGGTTACAGAGACAATGATCCATGGTCTACCTTTGTCACGGTATCGATTCCACCTAAGACCCACCTAAATCATAACCTGAAAGTCTGAACGAGGCCGAGGTCCCCGGGCTGGCTCGCTCGTTCGTTCTTCAGCGAAAAGACAGAGTACGTCTTTTCAGACTTGACAGAAGATGTGTCCAAATTCCGGCATGATGAAATGGTGCTATCTTGAGCTCTGTTTCACTCTGCGGTTAGGTGAGTCGTCGTCACCTGACTGTTGGAACGAGGGCCAAGTCTGAAACAGAAGCATACAAGCATTCATGGAAAGGAAAGAGCCCAACCGTGGCCAACGTAAGAAGACGCCACAAGGCCTGCATGAGGAAGAGTTGCTATGCATGACTCAGTTCCGTTCCCCTTGTAGTTAAGCTTCAGAAGATTCCATACGATCTGATGGCTCGTATGGAATTTTCTGAAAGCTTACAACGTCATACGAGCCATCTGATCGAGCTTGTTTTCGGTCAGCTGACTCGTATTCAGAACGATGCAACAAAAAAAAACATTCAGAGATGTATGCCTACCATCTATCACACTGAACCTTCTTGCTTGAGGAAGGAGTACATGTAGTAGCTTCAAGAGGCCTCTCGCGCCTCGTTCTATTGCATGCTTGTCCAAAACAAACGTCCTGTTTGCAAAGTCCTTCACAATGTGCGTCCTCCCATGACAGAACTGTAGCTTGAAAGCCATAATGGGATCTGCCGATGATACGTTGCTGACACGTCAAGTAATTTGCATGTACCAAGTTGTGGGAAAGAGCAAAGATTTCGGAGTGTCCGCTTTAGGACTATGTCGATGGGCACTGTGGCAGGTGCCCGCCCCTCGTGGCACCGAAAAGCTTTGCCCAAAGGAGATGAGAATCTATGGTGTCGGACTGCACACTGATATTAACTCGAACCAACATCCCAGAGCCATGAGAAACCAAGCCTAAAAAAATCGTCGACCTTACCCACTTCTCTCGCATTCTTATCTCGTGCACTGATGACGATCTCCTCCTTGAATGTAGCGAAAATTCCAAAGTTTCTCAGGTAGACAGCTTCACTCCAAACGAAGAAAAGTCTGCTGTTTCCGCGTTGATCACCACAACCTATCGATCTGCTTTGTCTATTAATACACACAATCTCAGTGCGTCTTTAGCAAACCTCCATTCAGCAGGTCCAACGACGTCAGTGCAGTATACCTGAATGGGAGGTGCACTTGAGGCCAGGACGAACCTGCCTGCATTCAAAACACGATGGAACTGACTTAACCATAGTCAAAGAGGTCGAGAGAACTCCCCACATGGACTTGAAACCGAAACATTCAGACCCGACATCGTTGCTCACGCTCTCCCTACCTTTACGCTGCACTTTTAAGACCAAGGTCAACAATTCACTGTTGTCAAAAGGACCGCCTTCATTGTTACTAAAAACGGGCAGGTACTCGGTCTTCATCTGCGTCTGCCCCCTGCCCTGCCCTGCCCTGCCTCCCTGATGATGGGACAAAAGCGAGTGCTCCGGTGCTTCCCACCCCTTTTCTCCTGCTTCACACAAGGCCATGGATCATGCTACGGCATCTGGTGTCTGTACACTCGCGTTTTCCTTGTGCGAGCAGTATACTTGGGAATATGGAGGCGAGCATGATCAACGCTTTCTCGACCGGCAGGCGCATGCAGGCAAGGAAACGGGCCCGTTGCTTTTCCGAAGGTCGTCCACTCCTTTGCGTGTACAGCTTCTGGGAGAGATCCCCGTTCATGCATCTTCAAATTTTACCTTCATGCTTCTACCTACAGTCTGATTCTTCAATCCTCCCACACATGGACGTGAACCCCCGCGCAGTTGAGTTGGTCCAGAGACCACATGACAGACCCTGCATCCACCAAGAGCATTAAGCTGCCGTCGTCACCTTTCATTAGCCGGTGGATCTCCTAGAGAATAGCCATCTCAGCCATGTTTCTTCTCCTCCCGCAGGTAGTTTCAATCAATATTCCACCTACTCCACAAGACCCCTAAGTTCACCACTTAATGCTCTTGCCGCGCAGGGCTATGTATGTGAGTCGCAGCTCCACTCACCAGAAGAGAAGCACAATGCCATGTCGTGGACTTCCTGAGAAGTACACGATCCTATATCATGACTCGATCGTTCTGTCAGTAATTATCATGCACGACAAAATCACATTTTCAGCTTCTTCAACTTCGATCGTACGCTGTATGGACGACTTACAGTAAATTCTCGTCAGTGAATGCAGGAAAGTTTTCTACTCTAACTTAACCAACGAGCAGAAATTGACAAATTCTACTGCACCCCGACTACAATCCGATGGCCATAGAAGGCACCTGGATTGATTCAGCAGCTGTGTCAGAGAGTGATCGACGTTACTGTGTGTCATTGGACCCTCGCGCCGGAGCTTTTCGGTATTCTCAAGCCACAGGACGCAGTCATGGATTCAAAATGAATATGAGATGAGAGGAAACGGAGGGCGTAAACTAAAAGTCGGGAACACGCGATCAAATACTTTTCATTCAATTTGTCATCTTTAAAACAACCCAGGATAGAGGTCCTAGTAAATACATTGAAAGCACAGCTGCAAGACCCTAGAACTGAGGCCGGCGCAGACATCGAGGCCTTCTTTCGATCAGAAACGCCTCTGCCCGGCGCAGGCCGACGAAGATTAATACGCGGCCATGCCGTGGAATGTCGAGAACTAATTTTCATGACAATGTTGGGTTGCAAATGTACAAGTTTCTCCTAAACGCTACTTTCTCCACTCAAGCCCAAGAATCTGTGACCCTGGAGGTCGTTCGCTAGCTCAATCTCTCAGTCTTTCTCCTTCTCTCCCCCTCTCGAGTTTGTAATAAACTCAACAATGAATGGCCGACGGCTCTACACGGAGTTAAGATTATTGAAAGCCAAATTAGTCAGCACCGACGCAATGAGCGTAAGAAGCTACACACTAATCCTACAGACTCGTGGGAAAGGACTCCTGCCAGTTGATGACAATCGGGCTTTGCACCACATGAATTCCGTCGGTCCAGGCCACGAATCCGAACGCCGACCCGATCGTCCCCGGAGGCAATTTCACCGGGGGCGCCGACACCTTCATAGTATAATGCAATTTCTGATTCTCCTCCGTGAACTCCAGAATCGACGGCGACACGGTGATCTTCACATTCTTCGGGCCGACCACATCCACAGTGTAGGTCGAATTTGCGGGCCCGACATTTGTCACTGTCCGGGAGAAGGTGGTTTCGAGCATGGCGGACGAGCTGCCGGTCTGATCGAAGAGGGTGGAGAAAGATGGATAATTCAGCTCGCTCGGGCTGCCGATCTTGGTCGGGCATGCGCCCACATCTGGATCGATGACGCGAATTGCAGCCTGCGAGTAATTGAGCGCGCAGAGGAATTTGATGTAGTCGGCCACCTCGAGGTCGTAGACGAGCCCGGGGTTCATGGCGCGCTGGGGGTCCACATGCCCTGCGCCGTAGGCGAACGGCGTGCTGACATTGCCCGTGGCTTCGTCCGCCAGGGGGGCGCCGGTGTTGTCCACCACGTAGGCCGACGTCATGATGGCCGACTTGATCATCGCGGGACTCCACCCGGGGCGCGCGCCTTTCAGGAGCGCCGCAATGCCGCTGATGTGCGGGCACGACATGGACGTCCCGGAGATGATGTTGAACTCCACCGTCCGGTTGTCGCCTTCGAGGCCCGTGGGCGCTGCGGCCCCGGTCCAGGCGGCCAGAATGTTCACCCCCGGCGCCGTGATGTCCGGCTTCAGAACCTCCGGCGTCTCGGGGTTAGGGCCGCGCGACGAGAAGGACGAGATCACCGGCGCGGGCTGCACGCCGTACACCGTGCCCCGGAACAGAATGTTGGCCTTGGGCGACTTGGTCGACAGAATGTAGTCCTTGATCTTGGCGCCGGCTTTTGCCCCGACGGCCGTCGCGGGCAGGACGTGGCTATCGGCCACCAGGCCCTCGCCGTCGACCGGCAGGTTGGCGAGGATCATGCCCAGCGCGCCCGCGGCCTTCACGACCTGGCCCTTGGCGACACGCGCGTTGCTGCCCCGGTCGCAGAGAACGATGCGACCCTTGACTTTGGCGGGGTCCAGAGTCCCGTCCAGGCACAGGCTGGCGCTGTAGGCGTTAACTCCGGCTTTGCTGGCGTTCACGGCGTAGATCAGAGGGTGCAGCGAGTCGCCGAGGTCGGGCCCGCTGTAGAGCGACGTGCCCTGGAACTCGTCCCCGCCGCTGAGTGTCACGGTAGCGGGGAAGCTGCGGTCGATGGTGCTGGCCGCGACGGTGGTGATCCAGGGCGCGACGTTCGTCACAGTGAGACTGCCGGGCCCGCTGTTACCCGCGGAGCACGACACGAAGACGCCTTTCTTCATCGCGCCGTAAGCGCCGATGGCGATCGGGTCGAGATAGTAAGGCACGACGCCGCCCCCGACCGAGAGGGAAATCACGTCCACGCCGTCCGCGACGGCCTCATCGAAGGCGGCCAGAATGTCCGAGTCGTAGCACCCGCTCTCCCAGCACACCTTGTACACGGCGAGTCGCGCCTTGGAGGCCATGCCGCGCGCGACGCCCTCCGCGAAGCCCAGAAGGCTGGCCTTGCTGACCATGCGACCGGCGGCAGTGGACGCGGTGTGCGTGCCGTGACCCTCCCCGTCGCGCGCGCTTTTGAACTCCACCGTCGTGTTGACGGGCCCCGTCGCGGCCTCGTAGCCCTTGGCGAAATACTTGGCGCCGATGAGCTTCCTGTTGCAGAGCGAGGCGCTAAACGATTCCTCGTCCGCGCAGCCGCCCAGCCATCGCGCCGGAATCGGCCCCATTTTGTGATCGAGGAACGACGCCCTCTCGGGCCAGACGCCCGTGTCCAGCACGCCGATGATCACATCCTCACCATACTTGGCCTCCTCGGTCAAATCCGTGGCCACAGACGAATTCAGCCCGAGAAACTCTGGAGTGTGGGTCGTGTGCAGCTGCCGCACCTGCTCGGGGTACGCCGCCATCACTCCGGGCCTCAGGCGCATGGCTTCGGCCTCCGCCTCCGTGAGGCGAGCGGCAAATCCCTGGAACACGGTCGAGTACGTGTGCAGAATGCCGTCCAGCTCGTTCACGGCGAACACCGACTGCGTGTGGCGCATCTGCTTCACGGCGTGGAAGGTCGATTCGTACCACGATTGGTGCGAGTTGAATACCACGGGCTGCTGCGTTTGCGCCATCTGCACGATGTACGTCCGGACTCCCAAATCCGAGGAGGCCGCCGCTGCGCTGCTGGTGCTCCAGAGGCACGAGCTCGTGATGCTCAAGAGGACGAATAATGTCATGGCGCCCGTCAGGGGCTCCTCCTTGCGGTGCCCCATGTCGGCCCCGTTTCTGCGTGCCCCACTCGGCGCCTGCTGCGGGAGCTCGCGAGGGGCAGGAAGAAGACGGAGGTAGACGAGACGAGACGAGCTCGAATGTCAATCCGCCCGGCGCATTAAAGAAATACGAGTGCTTCTTCTTGGGAGTGCGTGAAGCTCTTATAACAGACAGAGTCCGTCCTACGAGCCCTCCTCCGAGCTCTTCCCTCCTTCCAGCTGAGAGAGAGAGAGGTCTCGACAGTCGACTTTCGACGTCCCAAGATCAGCCTTGGCGAGCGAGGTGATCCAACCACCTTCGACCTTCCGCTGAAATTCAACGCAGGCAGGTCGTGCGAAACCGAAAGCGGAGAAGTCGTGCACCACCGGCTTCTTCTTCTTCTTATGCTGATCGCTCGCTCGCTGCCACACTCTGCGCTCAGAAGGGCTTCGCTTGGCCCAAGTGCAAAGCGAGGAGTGTTGGCATCCTGTGAGTGTGATCTGCTTCAATAGCAGCAGCAGCAGCAGCAGAGGCAGCAGCTCCCCGACGGTTTAGTTCCAGAGCCGTGAGGCAAACTACAGCTGCGATGGTAGCTCTCGGAGATGGATACAGGAATAGACTCGCTCGCTCGCTCGCTGCTCGATGTGACAGAGAAGAAAGAAGGGAAAATTATGCAAAGAGGATGGGCTCTTTACGCAAATAAGTCGAACCTGGGTCGCTCGCATGCAGCTTCGAATTGGATGCAGACGGGCGTCCCACGAGGGCAGTCCTCGACCCCTCCCGCCGAGCTGACTCTGGTCACACGAGCGAGGAGGGAGTAGACCGAGATTCTCTTAGACTCAGATCCTTCTCAACCCCTTTCGGGTTCCAGAGAGGCTCGAGAGTAAAACCAACTCACACTGTCGCAATCTTCCCCTCTGATCTGCTCGCCTCTCCTCCTCGCGTCTGCTCTCTGCGTCTGATCCACGGTGTCCCCTCTCCTCTCTCTCGTCCTAGAAGCTCTCACCTCACATCACCTCACGACGCATCCATAGAAGAAGGATGGGAGAGCAGCTGGCAGCTCGAGCTTCCTTCCTCCCTTCCTTCCTTCTCTACTCCAGTCCCTCCCTCCCGCTTCACGCCACCCCCTCTCCTCCCCTCCCCTTCCCCTAGTCCAGCACCACTGATCCGAATGATTGGAGAAAAGGAGATTTCCACCTCACCCTGGCCTGAAAAACCCGCTGCCGATAGTTGTAGGTGTGAGTGAGCGAGCGAGGGGGCAAGAAGCGTAATTATAATAACCTCGAAGGTGGGCAGAGCGGATCACAGCAGCAAGCCTACGACACTCTACTACGACTACTACTCACTCACTCCCTTCTGCTGCTGCTCCTACGAGAAAGCCATGGGCCCACGGGGAGCTAGCTAGCGAGCGAGAGACCTAGGGAGACGAGAGCGAGAGAGAGAGAGAGAGTGTGTGAGAGAGTGTGAGAGCGACACACTTGCACTGGAGCAGCGCAGGACACGTTCGGAAAAAGGCGACCTCGTGGTACAAGCATCACCCTTCCGGACGCAGCTGCTTCTGCCTCTCTCTGCCTCTCAGCCTCTGCTGCAGTTGGCGCAGGAGGAGAACGGCTCGGGATTACCGTTGCCCGTTGCCTTCCAGATATGATGAACCGGACGCACAACCGATCTAATAACCTCTGGACTCACGACTGGGCTCTCACTCCACTCACTGGACTGCGAGCGAGCGAGGGGCAGCAAGGGCCAGCACGGGGGGCAGTGAGAGAGAGAGGGGTAGGGAGGGACGAGGACGAGGCTTTAAACGCGTATCCCGAGGCCCACCACCACCGCAGGGCCGCCAGGGGGGCAGGGGGGGGGGGGCCTTATAGATAGACAGACGCCGGCGCCACCGCCACAATAGAGCCCCGGGCGAGGAGGAGCCAGATCCCCTCCCGCCCACGACTCACGCAGCCATTGCACCGGCTCCTCCGCGGGCTCGTTAAGGCAGCGAGCGAGGAGAGCACGCGAGGAGGAGGAGGAGGAGGAGGAGGTTGCAGCAGATGATTGCTCGCTGCTGCGTTTGTACAACATCTTCACGCTGAAGGGATGTGCGAAACTGTCCGCCACTGATCGCCCTCCCTTGCTACGGTCCAGCCGTAGACGGCCGCCTCCTTTCCCTTTCCCTTTCCCTTTCCCAGAATCAGGCCCGGCCCCACCGCCGAGCAGATTTAGCCCTTGCAGATTTAGCAGCAGCGGCGGCCTCCCTTCTTTTCTTCCTCAAATCTCCGGCCTCCGAGGAAGTTCTAATTTCAGTCCCTACCCGGTTGCCGGGGAGCAAGGTGAGCCAACAACAGTCTCGGCCGCCGTTCGTTTTTTCGCAGACTTTTGTCATCACCTCGGTCCAGATTCGAGAATCCTTTCTTTACTACGCCTCGATTATTTGCCTTCCTGTCGTGGACGACACTGTTCTCCCCTTTCGTCTCCTCAGTCCACCGCCTATTAAATTAGATATGCCATGCATCGTCTGGACGTATTCATGAATTCATGATAGATCTCAACAACAATACATCAGGTGCCCTGAGAAAAAATACCCAATAAGGTGTAGGTTAGCCGAAAGATGGTTATCGGTGAGGAAAGATACAGATGTGGTCTCAGTACAGGCCATGATGTTACCAAGATGGTTATCGGTTCAAGGATGCAAGGTGAATAAAACAGAGATAGTGAAAATGCTTCCAGCCATTGTCCGAGTGCCAATTTTCCTCTAGCGGAAAGGTTAATCTTTGGCTTGGTCCTTGCCTTGGTACATTTTGATTCATTCCTAGCGAGTTAGTTTGTCCTAACTCTAGATTGTATTGGTGTCCATTTGGAAGCTTCGAGATAATCACCTGTGATTCAATAATATTTGTTTGCTATGACGATGAAATGTATGTCACCTGAAATAGTGTTGATATGACGTCGGGCAGATCCTCTTTTCTTCATTATTGCATACCTTATGGTTCCACATCACCTATCATCCTATATCGACCGCCAACGGCCAAAGTATCTAATTAGAGGGGTATAGGTACACTAAATTCAACTTGTTAGTGAACGAGCAATAGAGTCTCTGCCATATAAGGCGTATCACTCCCTTTGTATATTGTGTATGATATCTTGGTCAAGTCAAATCAGATGTTTTGAAGAGAATACTTGTTTGGCATGCCGTATAATAGTAATCAAGTTCGTGGTTGTTTGTGTGGATATTCATGTTGGTTGCACAAGAAGATTCTCAGATGTCTTATGAATCATAGGTCAAAACAAATCATAAGCTATGATATATTTGACTATTTGGATGCTATCGAGGGTGAGGATCACGGTAACCTTTAACTTCTACTGTGTACGCTTTTATGACGTATACCGTACTTTGTGCTTTTGTATTGCGTATTTTTTGCTCGAAGCTTATTCACGGATTTCATGCACAACAGCCGAGCCGCATAGGGAACAGTATAGTATGAATACGTAGAGACCGAAGCCGCGAGATTCATTCCAAATCCAGACAGAACCGGGTCCAGTCACGAATGGTTCCTACGAAGAGGCCTATGCGATGCTCAGAAGACGTAGCTTTGGAAAAGAGCCCCGAAGAACATAAAAGCTCTGCATCAATTCGCAACGTGTAATGCAGGTGTCGATGTCAACTCCTTTGATAAAGTATTTGTATCTCGATGTGAGCCTTATCCTCGGGAGAAAAACACATTTCTGTGTGTGGCCCTCTTTGAGGCCTCAGAAGGCGTTGGGTGGAAAGTTAGATATTCTATCAGTTGATCTATGTTCGTGGACACTCGAAGTATAATCTGGAAGCAGAGACAAAACCTTCTGAAAGCTGCAATGACATCTGCGACATCACGAGAAGAGGAGAGTGACAGATGGGATCAAACGCAAGCGCCCACGCCATGGAACTTGTGGGGGTGGGATGTGCGAATCGAGGAGAGAAGCCTTCTGGGTCTTGGTAGACATGTGATCGGAAAGGGACCGTCGCAGTCCCTTTCGTTGCTGCCATAGAATCGAAAGGGCCTCGCTACTGCAGATCAGTCGAGAATTAAAACGCCCTGCTGTGCACAAACTTTTCTGCAACTTTATTCCTTGCCAATGAATGACACTCGTCGATTTTCAGAAAAGTAGAGCACGGGTTCAAGCCCATAGGAATATGAAGAATGTAGATATGCATGCATTAACTTCCTCTATTTGATAAACTCTAAAACTAGGACGAGGGCTCTTTAATTCTCCAAAGTTGCTTGTCCTTGAAAGAATACCATCTACTGCATAGACACAAGAAAAACCTCTGGTCTCAAGATTCCCCATGTTTAGATCATCACAGCAGACACTCACATCACAATGCGCTCGGTAAAATACTGTAGGACTTCCCAATCCTGTCTCACGGAAACTTCAACACGTCTCCAGATATTCTACCTACAAAATGTCAAAAACTCCGTGAAATAAATAACATGATACGACAACTCCACTACCATACATGAAGTTCCCTTAGTAGCAAACCAAACCCTACCCAGAAAAAAGGAGTTCATCTCAAGAAATTTTCCACACTTCATCACAATATCACTTGAAAACAATTTTTTTAATGGATAATAAACGAACCAAAACAATGGGACAAAGATCATTACACTTTAAATATGAAAATAATAACTTGAGAAATATATCTGTTGATAAATATATCTTCATATTCCTGCTAGATACGAAGCATATATATTCAGGTTCTACTTTCTCTACTTTTGAAAATCTAAATGAAAAAGATCCAAAATTGGTTATACAAGTTCTAAAAAATGGAAAACCATATCGTATATTAAATTATGTGATCTGAGAATCGCATAATATAACATAAAATATGGTTTTAAACGGTAAATATATTTCTGTCCGTTTAATTTCATGAAAACTGTATGTACTTTAAAATATTCTATCATTGATCCATCAAATGGAGATAACATTCTTGCATAAGGTAAAACATGGTATTCCGAAATTTACCAGAATTCACTTATTTCCCAAATTACATCGAAGATGAGACTAATTCCTAATTCTATTTATATATGCATTAGCCTCTCCTCAAATTTCAAGAATAATAATGATTGTGATGATTTTTATTTCTAAGACTAGAATAATGAACTTTCAATTTTTTGGAATGATGGACGACATTTGAAACACTTTTATCATGTTATGCGACTTACCACCGATCCCACACGTAGGCTGGATATGAACAGATAGACACAATAGGCTATTCTTCCGAAGTTTGTTCTATCCGCTTGGCACCTTTTCCTAGATGCAATGGTGAATTGCTAGTTTTTAAAGTACGAAGAATATCTGATTTCTAACGTTATAATATGCATAAAGATGTTAATTGTTACTTTGGAGGAGTTTTAACTCATTGGAAACATCAAGTCGGCGTGAGAAACGAAATTGAGATATTGGTGGGGAGACATGTGGGTGTACAACAAGCCTGGACAAAGCTCAAACCCCACCAGAACATCAAGTTTAATCAGTCATATGTTTTTGGACAAATAAGTTCTGGACTGTAGTACGGTACTCTCACATGATAATCTTTCCAAAATACTTCTCAGGCCGTATGAATCAAATGAAACATTTTTTAGAAAAATTTATGAGATTCATTTACAGTATACTGAAGCTCAAACTAACTGATGCTCGTGTACAAAAATGTTAGAATATGTATATATATTAAGAGAAACTGATGAAGGAATATAAGGTTACTGGTAAAGAAATAAGGTTTTCTTTATGAGGAGAAGTTGGAGGATCTTGAAATGTTTAGTCCCACATGTAGGATAGTTAGGGCTTTCTAGTCATTTGATAGAGTAATAAATGAATTCACGTTATAGGTAAAGAAGCAAGGTTTTTATACTTATAAAGAAACATGGATGTTAAGAGCAAGAATTAAGGTAGATGATCTCAAACGACAAGCATGCATGCAATGCAAATCCATGCCAAGAAGATATTTCAGCGCAAGCGCTATGGTTGATACAATAGCTATAAATTCACTGACCCTATGATGCAACAAGACTCAACGAGACTTCTCTAGCCCGTGAACCGTCGTTGCCCCAACCTGTAGCTGTGGATTTGGGAACAAACCTCTTTATCCAATCAAAACTGGTCAAGTGTTGCAGGAGTTGGAATCGATTGTACAGTCATTCACTGTGATTTTTCATTCTCTGACAGTCACAAAGCATAGCACAACATACAAAACTTTTTTTTTAACTTATGCTTGCTTGGCATGAAGGTGTTAGATGGGAGATCCTGATGACAATACATTTACTCTCACAATTGGAAAAGTCATCGTGTAGTATTGGAATAAGCACGGGACCCATCAAGTCGTACAAATTGGTCTCTTGGATTCTTCACACAAGTAGAAATTGTCAGATTCTTCACTTCCTTTGGATTTATATTCCCGCCTTTGCCTTCCTCCCCTATTTCTTGCGTGTAGCAATGGACAGGAAAGCTAATCTAAAACTTGAATTCTAGTGTGTGAAGGTCGTTGTGAAGGTGAAGTGAAGGTCGTTGCCTTTGCAATTGACTTTCCTTGACGACATGGGCGGGTTGGATCTCAATAACAGTGTAGCATATAGGATAAAAAAACTGTGCTTATGTAAATTTAATTATGAATCAAAGTCCAACAATCAAGAATCTTAAGCATTTAGTAAATATCTATAGCTAGATCCATTTCGTCATAAGAAAATTTTTAAATGATACACCAAATAATATTTATACATGTTATTTTCTTGATGTGTTGAATTTGAGATCTGACTCCTCATTAATAGAACTCTGTAACTATTTTCAACAAAGATACATATAATGACGTAAGATGCTATGAAAAAGATCATTTTACTATTGAAAAAGATTTGTTCAGAAATGAAATTCATATTTTGACAGCCCTACCTGATTTTACTACTATGATTATACTAGATTACAAAGAATATTTTAAAAGCAAATCTTGGGAAACATTTCAAAATTTTGAATAACAAGTTTATATTTTGTGGACATAGTTTTGATACATTGAACCATGTGTTTATTGTGTCAATTTTATTGGAAATATTTTCCATTAAAACTCTTGATTCAAATATCTACGATATATTGTACATTGTATTAATTTCATTTGAAATGAATAAAACCGAATTCTATTCTATCAGATTTATAAAAAAATAAAAAGTATTATTATAAATAAATAAATAAATAAATTGAAAAACCTATAAGCTATCTTAAGTCATATCCTTCTACCTACAGTTATATTATATGATAAAAGGGAATATATTTATTATTTTATTTATTTGACTAAAATACATTTTTTTTTCGGTGAAACTTTTACTTATTTTGTATTGAACAGTAAAAAATAAATGCAAAATCGATATCTTCAATAACATATTATCATGTGACTTCAATATGAAAATAATTTTTAAAAGCTACGAGTAAATCAATGATATTATGTTGAAATCTCTTCTTCATTATAGCTCACAATTACATTGCAAGATTAGTTCTTGTGAAACTATTATTTATATATAATAAGATCAAATTAGATAATAACGATACAAATGTAAAGAGACATCTTTCAAATATAATTAAAGATACTGAATCATAAAAATTAGTATTATTGATCATTTTTATATCTCATAAACTACAATTGAGAATCATATACATTTTTTTGCAATGATGAGTATAATTTTCTTCAATAAAATATTGAATATCAAAATTTCTCAAAAAAGTAAAATTAAAATAATGACAAATTGTTCAAATGTTATTAAAATTGAAAATTTTGATTTTATTTTTTTTAATCTTGAAATT